AACTCCGATGCCAAGTTGTAAATAATGAGTATTGGACATGACATATGATAAAAAAAATTCGCCGCCAAACTGGAACAGGCTACAATCGTCCTATTCTGAACAAAATCAGGTACAATTTGCCTATGTCAGTGTTATCGTAAGCTTTTTCTATATAGTATATATTAGATCGTTAATGCACATTGTGGTGGACTTCTCAGCCATGTACGCATTCGAGCTTCCCGGTATCAAATTATTTTCCAAGTGTTCCTGAATACACTGCTTAAGAGCTGATTCTAGGATTTCCTGTGGTGGACACATCAAAGCTATCGGTCTATAGTTCGTAATTATTGTCGGATCCTTGTTCCTTGTAGGCACAGGAGCTATCTTTATAATCCTCCAATCCTCTGGAATGACACCACTGGTGGTTTTGAATCAAAACCTTTAAAAGCTTACTTTTTTCCAATACACTGAGGACATTTATCATGGAATATGAAATCCGATCAGTTCCAGGAGCTGATTCCTATTTCCTTTATTTTGAGAAAGAGTTCCATTGCAGATTGTTGTAATTCTGGCCTGTTGGCTAGTATTCTGCCGAAGACTACACGCGTGTGTTCAGAGCAGATCTGAGACGAGTCGGAGATGTGCTTTAAAAAGTTCTGGTCGTCATTAATTAATTACATGCTTTAGTTCAAGGTTTACTTTTTTGATTTAGATTGGTGCAATGGGCCAAAATGAACGATTTCCGTTGAAACTCACACTACTTTTGTATGATGACGACACTTGGATCTGATTATATGATTTATTGTAACAATAACTTTCTAAATGTCTTTAGTACATATGACGAGTGCAGTTTGGATTTATTTAATGGTTTTTAAAGTAACAAATTTTACTCTTTGTACTTCTCATTATGTAATTTCAATTATATTTATTAAAAATATATTCATATTTTGACTTAGATATTCAATATTCTTACAATTTAATAGTTACATATAAATCAAATACAAATACTGTAATAACTGCCATTGAGAAAACAGGTCGCAAACATAGACTCTGATGTACGGCAATGTCAACGGCGTTAACAAATTTACCTGAATGGCAACTATGTTTTGTGAATCAGTTTCAAGAGTTGCCATAGTAATAAACAATAATGGGGATAACTAAAGCTAAGGTCACACTACGCAAATATTTGATTCAAATATGTTTGAATTTGTTTGCCTAAAAAATGTAAAATTTGAACAATCGTGATTTTGTGTTCACATTACTCTCAGATATTTGACAAATTTTATTTTTTCAAACAGGCAATTAGTGTCAAATAACGTAATGGGAAAACATATTTGGTCACATTTGAAAATATATTCGCTTCAAAAAAATGATTGATTTAACATGCCAGAAAACATACATTTAAATTGCCAGAGCAAGTCCTATATAAGGTCGGCTGTAAGCGAATTAATTTAGCGGCAATATTTTTGCCGAGGCGAAAATTAATTGTTTCGCCTTTAAATAATGTTCTTTAAAATCTTGAAATAGACCAAATGTGCTTCACAAAGACGATAAAAATTAAAATATTATTGAATGTTGACAATATATGAATATTTCCGTTTTGACGTCTAACATAATTTTGTATGTATAGGTTTCAAAATATGATTTGACAGCAAACTTAATAATCAGCTGACCTTACTGTCCGAACTTATATAGGCCTTGTGCCAGAGTATATTGAGAAAACTTTTGGCCTACTTTGATTATATATTTTTTTTATTTCTGTTGTGTATTTTCTGAATTATTTCCAAGATATTGTTTTTATGTTTTGTGCGAGGAGATGTTCAATCCATCGATAAGCCCAAATGATAAACTGTGGTCAATTTTGGGGAAATGTGGCTGGAACTCTATAAATATCGTACATGGGACCGTCCATAGAATCTCCATTATCGAAATAAACATATTGTAAGAACAAAAAACACAGGGAGAGTGCTACCAGGAGAAAACGAAATATCAAGCAACCGGTTTGAAAAATGTAGGACCTTAAGCATGCTGAAAAAGCACCTGACGGTTGAAAAACAATTCTCACAATACCGAAAATTAAATAGGGCTGAAAGTCCTCTTACGTGTTTCCCTCTTTGGGTTTTCACATTTTGGACACTTTGCTCAAATTTGTGCTTGCTGTCAAATATTTTTGTTTTCCCAAAATCAGCTATTTTTGTATTTGCCATTGAAAAATGTTAGGTTGCGGAAAAAGAAATACATTAGGCCGGCCGTCGAAAATGTCGAAAAAATCGATTAAATTATTATCGCCCAGAAGCTAAAAATCGGCCATAACACTGTTTTAAACCATTTACACAAAACTGGATTCAAAAAGAAGCTCGATGTTTGAGTGACACACCAATTAACAGAAAAAATAGGATGGATCGAATGTTCATTTTCGAAGCCTTGGACAAACGGAATGAGATAGACTCATATCTTAAACGGATGGAGACTGGAGATGAGAAATGAATCACATACGATAACCCTGTGCCAAAACGATCGTGGTTAAAGAACCTCAAGCACCTCAAACGGTGGCCACACTAGGACTAACGGCCAGAAAGGTTCTGCTATGTATTTGGTGGACCGGAAGGGTATTATTTACTATGAGTTGCTTCCATATGGCCAAACGCTAAATTATGATCTCTACTGTCAACAACTGGGCCGTTTGAAGATAGCAGTTGACCAGAAACGGTCAGAATTGGCCAAAAGGAGAGATACTTGGATAATTTTCAGAAAAAGGGAATTGTTCTCCAATATCCCGGAACACTACAATATTGCCAATACTACACACTGTATACTGACAATTGGTCGCTAACCTTATATATGGGATATGTCAAAACATAGCTATACTGATAATTTTTTTGTATATTCAGTGCTGGCAAAAATAATAGAAACAAACATAACATAGTAGTTTGAACTCTTTTTTCATCGGAATTGAACGGCAGATTTTTATAATTAGCACATCGAAAGACGTTGATCATGGCAAAATATATAGGTATTCCTGGTGGTATCTTTACTAAAGATGTATAGTTAGCGAACGAACTAGTTCAGATGAACGATACAGTTAAAAGAGCAAGTGAAAAAGTTCAGTCAAAATCGTTCTTAATAGTTCTGTCATTTGTTATTTTTCAGCTATCAGAACTATTTCGTCGTTGGTTAAATCGCAAATGTTAGTCTTAACCTTATGAATTATCTGTTTAAAAGATCTAAATAGGAAAGAATCGTTCAGTAAATTCACAATCGTCGTTCACGAATGTGTCTGCATCGACGAACTATTGAACTGCTAAGCTAAAAGAACGAACAGGTTCATTCATGAGAGCTGAACTAAAAAGAGTGATCTTCTCAATGAACTAAAAAGTACAGCTATATTTTTTACTCGTTTTACGGGAGGCGGGCCAATATACTTAAAGAGGAAAAAAATAGCGCAGCTGATTTCTCGATTAGCTGTCAAAGTGTGTAATTTCTACTTGAATTCGATGTGAAATGTTGCCAACCAGATTGAATATTATAAGGAATATTTATTGCATCATGACGTTTAAGAGGAAAGCCTGAACAGTTTTGCACATGTGAGGAAAGATCGATTTATGAGAACATTTACAGGGTTATATCTCAGCTCATAACATAATAACAGTAGGTAGTCTCATTTGAGAAATTAATAATGGCAATTTTTTTAAATTTGAAACTCATTTATCAATTTCAAATTGTTTAAAAAATAAATTCCATAAAAGTTCCGTTCCAGAACCTAAAAGAATCTATTAATTTTACAAGTTTTGCAACTTTTTAAACGAAACAGGTTCCTGAACAGACAAAATCCACAGGATATTTCCATTTAAATTTTGTAAGCTGAATGTTGTCAAAAGTAAAATTGTGAAAAAATTTGAATCATATGTCTGCATGAGACTACCCTGTGTAATTATGCCATAACTTGAAGAATGTTGCGTCAAATCGCATGATCTTGGTAAGCGTTATGCGACTTTTCTTCCCTGGTTTTGTTAATTTGTATTTTCCTTCTTATGTGTATCTTTTCAAACTAATTTAGGTTCTCTACGACGTTTTTGAGTTCCACGTATATATATTTTTTTTGTGAGACTTTATTTCAAGTGAACGACTTTTTGTGCATTTTTTTTTAATTCCCAGCGGTAACACTGGTCTGAAATCATGTCTGCCATCGATAACTTTTCTTTAATTACAAGAAAAAATACAAAATTATGTCAATTCATTTTCTTATGATTTAAGTATTTAAATACATATATGCCAATTTAGAAGTCTTCAATATAATCCGTGTTCATTTGGCGAATTTGATGCGTTGTGATCAATTAAGCGATCCATTTTCATCAATCCACAAAATGGATAACCCTTTATAATTTTCTTCATTCATCTTTGAAATATTTCATGTCTGGCATGTTAACGCTTGACGCTCTCGTTGTGTTCATTATACCTCACACACGTAAAACGACATACAATTCAGTGTGTTGCTTGGCCGCCACAGTAAACAAAACAGCTGTGATCGAAGAAAATCAAACACAAGAGAAAATCAAAAATTATTTTCATAGAGTGTTGGCAACTCGGGCTGTGCTTGTTGGCTATTGTGTGTTGGATGTGTGAGGAAGAAATCGTCGATCGTCGTGGAAAATATTTACCAAATTCGGTTATATTAATTAATAACAAAATGTTTCGAGTTTCCATAAAATGCAATAAGAATAATTCAAATATATAAATGTTGAAAACAAATCGAAAGAAACGCGTGTGTAGCTTGTTATTTATCACCCAAAAAAAAAGAAATTGTGAAGTAGAAAAAGCCTCGCCTCGTTGAACTTGTTATTGTTGTTATTGCTACGCGACAGCAAAAGTAAAGTGCGCCCGCCGTTTCAGTAAAAAAAAGTAAAGCAGAAGTAGAGTAGTAGCAGCAGAGAAGATCGCGGTATTTTTTCTCTATTGATTCTCTATCCCCACACACTATATTTATATTTTTATCAGCTGTGTGGTTTTTTCATTTTTCCCCCAAATATATGAGAAATTTTAAACAAACATTTTTAACGTGACCATTTGTGAACTTAGGAAAAGGTAATGGTGTGAATAAAGTTGTCCACTACTATGCCTCAAAAAAATAGTGGTGGGATGCTTGTGTTGTATGAAATTACGTGACACACGACGTATGGAAATTAAATTAATTTGGTTTTTATTTTAATTCCAGCAGTACCCCCAAATGTCTCTGAAATTGAAAATTAAGATCAACAACAGCTATGAATCGGAATCGGGTTGTGGTGTAAGTATGCAATATTGAGAAGTGTTTCCCAAAATAAAATATAAATCCCATGGAAAAGAAATCAATGCCCCTCAACCAAATTGATATTGCATGTAATCAGCTGTTCTAAAATGTCCAGTCATATATATATATATGCCTGCATGTACGTGCGTGTAGATATGTATTGATTGGAATGACGACCAGCAAGGAGGGTATATTGTTTACTTTTTACCATTTCCACCATATATGGGAACATTATTATCATTATCTACCTCTTTGGTATGCTTCGCTGACATAGAACACAAGTTAACCATCAACATCATCATCACAACTAACCACCACCATTTTTGGGCGGTAAAACGTAAACTTGGAATATAACGGCACTTGCACTCTGTCGTGTAATTGCAACGTGGGGATCCCTGTGATACAAAAAATGTAAAAAGTGGAAATTTAATTATTTTCACTGTCATGTAAGGTATTTCGAAAATGTGTTTAAAATTAGTTAGACATTGTTTATTAAAAACCCTTTATTTTTGTAAATAGTTAACATTAAATATCGAAAAGGAATGTTATACCGAAGGTTCAAATACAATTGAATGTAATGTTAATTTAAATCCCAATGGAAAAACAAGATCATTGTGTATCCATGCTACCTTTTTTAATTATCAACCATTCCAATTGGAATAGTTCTGGCTTATTTACCGTTCATTGGAAAAATACCATATGCCCTGAAACACACCATGTAAGGTATATTGAAAATGTATTTAAAATTAGTTAGATATTGTTTATTAAAAAACATTTATTTTTGTAGATAACATCAAATATCGAAAAGGTCAAATACAATTGAATGTAATGTTCACTTAAACCCCAACTATGTACATGATTGGCACTTATCTACACTAGGATACAAATTCCTTATATGAAGTGTTAACAATCAATCATAAAAAATAGGGTACATATAGACATTATTTAAATATTGATCATCAATCAATTTTTCTATATATCGGGGTCAGGTTTTGTATTTGTAAATATATATAGAACAGGCATATGCATTCCCTTTTTATGTTATCAGCTGATGCACTACTTGCAGCAGCAGCGGCAGAGTGCACCCACCAACAAATTGTTTTTGTTTACAAAACACAACCGGTTTTACTTGACAAACCACACATTATATCGTTTAGGTTTTAAAATCAAAAATGTGTCTACGTGAAATAAGTATCCCCTAATTTTTTATTTCACTGTTGCCTCTCTTGACATTGTGGTGAAAACGTCTAATCATTCGTTTTTGCCTTTTTTAGATTTAATGCACTTCCGTCTTACATTACAATGTTGAACTAAAGTAATGATATGAATAAGCAATTGCGTAAAGAAAGGAAATCTAGATTTTACGACCATGCGACCCAGAATTGTTTAATCTTGTTTGGGAAGGTTTGATATGGAATATTGTTCTACTTGGCAATGATAATTTGAAAAAGTGAAACTTAGTTTTCTCTCCACCATTAGGTAGATTGTATTATATTAAATTTGTCATTTCGTTTTTAACACCCATATGTTATTAATATACTTGATCTGTCAGTTTAGACATGTCCACCTGTCTGCAGAAATCTTGATGTTTAAGATTGGGCTTTGCAATTTTGTACATACATTGTTGACCAAAACTAAAGCAACTAAAATTGCAAAGTTAATAAATGCCATATAACTTTTTCAAAAATTGGGGGTTTCAGTTTTAAATTTGATAAAATACTTACTTAGCTTGATTGTTACAGAAAGGTTGTTCCATAAGCCGAGCTTAAACATGATTTACAAGCGCGTCGGTCTTGTGCGCATCTCCTCCAATTTGAAAGACCACGTTCCAAGATGTTGTTTTCTACTTGGTCTTTTCATCTGATTCGAGGCCTTCTTCTTATACGGGAACCATCAGTAGGCTCGCTTTTATATGCCTTTTCAGCTGGGGCATTCTCATTCATGGCCAAGCCATTTTAGTCACTGCAGCTCAATACGAATGACTATGTCGATGTCCGCGTATAAATTCTAAAGCTCGTTGTTCATTCGACACCGATATTCGCCGTCGACGCAATCGGCCCGTAGATCTTTCGGAGAATTTTTCTTTCAAACACCCCAAGAGCTGCCTCATCTGCTTGCGCAAGTACCCATGCTTCAGATCCATATAACAGCACGGGTAGTATCAGCGTTTTGTAAAGTGTGAGTTTGGTCTGGTGGGAGGTGACCTTGTTTCTAAACTGCTTACATAGACCATAGTAGCATCTGTTGGCCATCTCAATCCTTCTCCGAATTTCAAAACTGAGGTCATTCGTTTTATTTATGGCGGTACCAAGGTATATAAAATCTTTAACTACCTCGAAGCTGTAGTTCTCAAGTTCCACAGCTGGTCTTCACAATTTGTTCAAAGGTGGCTGTTACCGCTCGCAATGTTTGACCCATTATATCGATGTCATCGGCTTAGGCGAGTAACATGCATCATTTGGTGTACATAGTGCCATTTCTGTTCACCTTTGCGTCTCGTATGACCTTTTCCAGCAGGATGTTAAAAAGATCTCACGACAAACTGTCACCTTGTCTGATCACCTTTGATAAAGTACCCGACTCTAAAAAATAAATAAATAAAAATGATAATTTGAATGATAATTTGTGGATAAGGGATTTATCCACAATTTTTGCTTGGGTAAAAACTAAAGCAACTCTATTGTAAAAAATGTGCTCTGAAATTTTAGTTATTTTTGCCTTCATAACATAAAGTCCAAAAATGAAAGGTTCATGCCACATTATTGCAAAGTACTGGGAAGCATGGAGGAGAGTCTGTAATGGTATTGGGCTGTTTTTCTTTTATGTAGTTCGATATATTTACGAGAATTTTAAGGTAATAATGGCAAAATTTGCTTATATAAGAAAAAATTAAAAAGTTGCTTTAATTTTGACCAAGCAAAAATTGGGTCAATTTAGTTTTCCATAGAATATTTTTTATTTCCACAATAACTTTATTAAAAAAAATGCAGGTCATTTATTCAGTTTTCAATTTTACTTATTGTAGTTTGATTCATTGTAGTTTGATTCATATAGACAAAATTGATATATGGTTTTGGTTGCGACAGTCCGCTTGATTTAAGGTATTTGATGATCTCCGTTACACTCGTGTATTTGCACAGTTCTGGCTATACATTCAGTTTCCACCTACGACGAGAAAACTGTACACAGGCTGAAGCCTGAAGTTAAATTAGCAGTCTGCCGCTGATGCCGTAGGAGAGGGTCAAAGAAAAATTGAAGTCTATAAACGAAATAGTTGGTTTAGTTGCCAAGACTTGGTCGAAAGGGACACGAAAGTCTCTACATATCTTTCGATTTGTATGAAATTTGGCATGGGGAACTGAACTAGGTCCAGAATGATGTGTACTAAGATTCGTGAAAATCGGTTCAGATTTAGATATAGTTTCGTCCGATTTATGTAAATGGCGCATTAGAGCCCCTATATTTCCTTCGATTTGCACGAAATTTTGCATAGCGTACTGAATTGAGTCTAGAATGACATGTGTCAAGTTTCGAAAAAATCGGGTCAGATTTGGATAAAGCTCCTATATATATTTTCGTCCGATTAAAGGTAAACGGGACACCAAAGTCCCTACATACCTTTCGATTTGCACGAAATTTTGCATAGGGTGGCATGTCATGTGTTGGGATTGATGTTAGTCGGTTTACTTATAGATAAATATCGCTTATTTAAGTTCGTTTAATTTCATGTCAATGTTCCTTCGAAAAGGCGATGTCTATTAGGACACATATGTAGTCGTCCCAGTCCGACTTTACTACTTTCCTTACTGGTTCAATTTACTAAAGAGTAACGATTTATTGACTTAGTCATAGCACTCTTATCTCGAAAGTGAAGCCACGAGCAGCTACTTTCGCTCAAGACCTTTGGTCCAATGTGCTCATCCTGAAAAAATAGATAAGAACAAAATATAAGAATTATAACTAAATTAATGTCTTAATTGGATGTTAGTGATCTAATCCTGTAGCGATCTGTTATGATCCCGACAGTAAATTTGATCTCATTTTTTTCCATTGTTCTACGATGTGAAATCTCAGGCCATTTTCTGCTGGCTTTGTTGCAGTTTATGCTGGATAGCACTTTATATGCGATGGGAAGAGGACTTTTTCCTCTATAGTTGGTACATATCGTCTTGTTTCCTTTTTTGTGCACGGGACACAGCATGCTAAGGTTCCAATTATTGGACATGCATTCCCCTAGCCAAATTGTACTAATCAGCTGTTATATGCTCCTGACCAGCATCTGACCACCAGTCTAGAGTAGTTCGGCTGTTAATCAATCGGCTACTGCTGCATTATTATTCTTCAGCCGATTGATTGCTATTCTGACCTGATCTTGGCTAGGTGGTATACACTCTACACCGTTATTGGTTTTGAGGTATCCTCTTCACCGCTACTATTTGATACCAGAAGTCACCTGGTTTCCTTCTTTATATCTACAGGAGGATGGGCCCGACAGTGGTACTTGGCCACTTGTCCAGGATTCCCTGTACGGAATAATTACTTTGGGTATCTACTAATTTTTTGTGGATGGTGTGAAGGCTATCGGTGAAGTATTATATACAGTGTTGTCCGTTGCCAAATTTTCAATGGACCCTTTATGTAGTCCCGATGTAATTTATGCGATTTCTTTCATTCGTGCTTCTTTCGTTTTGTATTTAGCATTTTGGGATACCAGCCCGAACTTGGTGTCATAGTGGTAGAAGCTTCGGTTTCGATCCTCAGTGGTGGTATTACAAAAACAACAACTTCAAATGAATAGGAAATGATCTATGACATGTGACAACTTTTGATCTCTTTGTAAAACAAACCGTCCAACATTTATGACCTTCCCAAATAATGCATATTTTACTTTCACAGCACCGACATTTCTGAAGAAATTTGGTGGCATTCCGACTATTGTTATATCATTCAAAGTTTTACTTCAAACCTTTACTCTGGGTTATTGAGCTTTGCATTCTATCCCAAACAGTTACTATCTGCTATCTCATCCCTAACAAAATAGAATTATTAAATAAGCAAAACTAAAAATTAAACCAATTAAGTTAACATATACTTGGAACGCTACATTATATGATTCGTTGTTGGGATAGGTAATGTGCTGCTGCTGTTGTTCACTTGGCAATAAAATACAAAAATTAATGACTGGGCTACAAAAGTTGTCTTTTCTTGACTTCCTTTCCTCCCTTTTAAAAATAAAATTTTTATTTTATCTGCTTTAAGGCCATATAAAAGAAATTAAACTTCAGTTCTGGAATTAATTTTGTTTACCTCTTACCCTCTTCAATAGATCAGAGAATTTTACAACCCATCCCTTTCGTATACTCTCTACTCTCTCATGACTCCTGTTTAAAATACAGGAATAAATTTTAGTTAATTCTACTCTTCCTTTTTCTCTAACCATAGAGAGAGAGAGAGCGAGGAAGAGCACAGCATTTGCAGGAATACCAAATAGCGTCTGTGACTGACTGGTTTTCTTGCGCCACAATTTCAATGGCACGCACATAAAACACCTCACCCATACATTGGAGGAAAATACTATGTATTTATGTACCATTGGTGTATGGATGATCACAGGCATGCACATGCGTGGCTGGTATACTAGTGGCACAATGTGCTGTTTCATTACTGCTTCTGCTGCTGCTGTTTGGTTCATCCATGGCAAATGTTATTGTATTGCAGTGGATGTGCGCTCGAATGTGCGTGTGTGTGTTTGTGTCTTTTTCTGTGCCAGCCACAATAAAAAATGCCAAAAACTCAGGTCATAAACTATTAGAGTGCCGCGCTCGGATATACACAACTAACCGCCGGGATGCAATAACATAAATATCGGTTGTTGTTGTTTTTGTTAATTTTGACATTTATGTAGAGGAGAGCAGACGACCTCTCTCTAGTCGTGAGAGAAGAGTTTCTTTTGATATTGTTTTTGGAAACAAAAATCCCTTTTTATGTAGAATAAAGGTATACACGAGAATATTTAGTAATGGTCTTCACTCTAAGACCGATAGACGTTTATTTGGACATTTTGATTACGGAATGTATACCATTTACTATAGTTCTTGTTGTTGTTGCTGCTGAGTGCACAGGGAACAAAGGCAATATTTTATGACATCTTGCTTGGGTTCCTTGAAAAGCCTGAATAAAAGATTAAAGCCATGTGTTCTATGTCCTACGATAAACTACCACAATATTCGCATATTTGACATTGGCTAAAATACAGCGTTTGCCTGCTCGGCTATTCGCGCCTCATCTTCTAATTTCAGTCTTCGATTAGTGGAAACAATGATTACAGCAGCATCTATGATGATGATCAACTCGATTATATTATAAAGCCGCCGTCCTATAGCAATGAAGTAACCATTACCACGACACAAACAATGGCTCCCGTAACCAGCCTGAATGCAAACGATAGCATATTATCATCAGTATCATCGTCGTCGTCTTCGTCATCTGCCTCGTCGTCTTCGTCTTCGCAGACAAGCAAGGATAGTGTATTGAACAGCAAGGAGAGCAAGAGAGATATGTTGTTTGGCATTCCCCTGCATTCCAGTCAGGAGTCAGCCTTTGAAGGTTTTGGCAATAGTCCATTTGACAAATTGCAACGTATTTTCTATCCCCAACAGCAGTCAAGTCTTCTGGCACCCAATGTGGTGGTGGCAAGCGCAGCAGATTCCGGTGAAAGTAAAAGTCAAATGGCACCTCGAAAACCTTCTCCCGGTAAAATAGTGTTTACCAAGTTTTATGACACTATTGTCGAGGAGAATAGCTGCAATGCTGTCGATATACAAATGTCATCCAATGATCAACCTGCCTTACCTTTGCGCCGTACCAGTAGCTCCAGTTCGATATCGAATCAAACAGCAGATGCCAATCCATCATCGGAATTGTCATTTAATGGTAAAATAAAAAGTTTAAGTAAACAGGATGAGTCGACGACATTGGATGTATCATTGGAGGCGCATAGCCGTTTGCCACCCGTTTTGGAGACTTCATTGAATACCTCACAACAGCAATTTTCCGAATCGTTTATATTGAAAAAATACAGCAATGAGAAATCACCCGATTTATTTGGTGACGATGATGACGAGGAGGAGGAAGAAGCCATTGTCGAGGAAGAAGAGGAAACCAAAGGTTGTGGTGTAGCTCTAAAAACCATTACTGAAGATCCCACAGCAATTGACACACACAAAATCTCAACCACATGCCTTAATGAAACTACTGAAAACCAATCATTTAGTTGTCCAGTTGATGGCAGTTTTGCCAATGATGATTATACCATGGATTGTAGTCTAACCCAAGCCAGCGTTGGCTTGGGAGGAGGTCCCAATGGTCCCACCGATTCCTATAGTCTATTTAAAGAGAACTGCCGCCGTGAACGTGAAATGCTGAGACGTATACGTAAATGTTTGGCTGGTGTTTTGCCTCCACCATCGGTTACAATACCACAATTGGATATGTTCAATGCCGTTCTATCACGCAAAGATGAACTAATGAATTTCTTTAAACAATTATCACCACAGAAAACGGAACAACAACCAAACACCCAGAAAGTAACCAGTCTATTTAAACCCACTCATACACTAGAAGAGGCCAAAACAATGCCATGGCGTGATATATTGGGTGTTAGACAACATGGTTTAAGGTTTGTTTCAAAAGAAACAACATTTTATTTTTAATAAATTGTTTTCAATTTTCTTTATAGTTATAACCTTAACAAGGCCTCAGAGAACAATGAATATTTGAGCTTATCAATTATGGAAAGATTTATTGGGGCCGAAACCGCCTCTTCATATCAAAATTCACCATCATCGGCCAAAAAACGTAGCACTCGAATGAAGTAAGTTTTTCATTTGGTTCAGTTCGGCTAGATTCTTGCAGTACGGGAACGGACCCATTATTATACTACAAAACATTACTTATTAAATTATTTGAATTTCTCCTTTTTCTAAATAGATTACTGTGCCAATCGCCTGGTAATCGTTTGAGTCACTTGGCTAAACGTCGTGCCATTTTTTCGTCTGCCCACTTGGCCACAACTTCACAAAAATCCAGTACATTACTGGGTCCTCAAATTGTGCTCGATAAAAAGTATGTTTTTAATATGTTTTGTTGTATATAGTCTGTAATATTTTTTTCTTCATATATTGTAATAGGAAGCCGAAAAATCGTCGCAAGGCCACACCAAAACGTATGACACCTGGCAGCAAAAAGAAAAGTGAGTAAAGTACTTTAATATTTCAAATTCAGGATAAGTCTGTAAAAAATCAAACATCGGCATCTAGCTGCAAAGAAGGGTCGGTCATTTCGTCTTAGCCAAAAACAAAAGTCGGCATCTAGCTGCAAAAGAGTGGGTCAATTTCGTCTTAGCCAAAAACATTTATTTGAGGGCAATATCGCAGATACCTTTTTGGTGTTATCTTAATTTCTATATTTTTTTGCATCGATACTTTTACTAAAAAAATAGTACGACGATGGAATAGGAATGCCGAGGAAGGCCACTATATTTTAGCATTAAGTATCAGGCAGCGCGTAGTGCCCTAAGGCTGCATGAAAAAATCTATTGCGAAATTGTACCTACGGGCATGTATTCTGAACGAACTAGATATGACATTGGACCAACGCATAAAACTAAGCGACTATATATCACCAGTCCTGAGATTTGACGAGATAGATGTCGTTATCATCCCTAGTAGAGACGACTGGAACCGTAGCGCAACCCTCTTCTGGACGGTCAGACTTTTTATACAGACGGATCCAAGATGGACGAAGGTACAGGGGCTGGCGTCTACTGTGAAATGCTAGGCCTTGAGATTACCTACAAGCTGGATAGCAACTGTAGTGCTTTCCAAAGTGAATGCAACGCTATTTGGAATGCAGCGGAATTGATTGATTGATCAAATCTGAGATCGTCCTCGAGTGTAGCAAAGTTTTCGAAACACTCACTCACAGTCATCGGCTGTATTGCATACCAGGACACCGTGGCATCATGAGTAATGAAAAAGTAGACGAATTAGCTAGACGAGAATCTCAATATACAGATCTAGCAATCGATGACTAAAGCAAACCACCCATCTGTCATCTTTTTCGTAAATTTGAGGCGTTTTTCGACGCCTCAAGATCTATCTGGCCGACTCTGTCAACCAAGAGAAAAATCTCACTGTTGAACCTGAGCAAAGTTGAAATTAAATATTAGGGCCTTTACCAGTAAATGGGACCATGATGTTACTGATTACTGCAGACTCTGTGCTGACGAGGAGGGGACGGAGACAATTGAGCATCTCCTGTGTTGCTGTCCAGTCCTGGCCTACAGACAGCACAGTGGGTGCTCCTCACTTTCCACCGTCTCCAAGCTTCTTTTCAACTATGGAACCTGCTTTAATCTACAGCATCATTAGACACATAAAGTGGTTAAGAAAGAGCAAACTTAGGTTAGATTAAAGGAAGGTTGACGGTCACCTTAGCACGTAATATGTTTTACTGTTTAATTTCTTTAGCCATCGAAACTATTCCCACCTTCCTCCTAATAATAATAGCTAGCTTCTTATTCTTTTTTTTTCGGGCCACTAAAATGATTCTAATATAATCTAACATTTGTTTCTTTTTACAGATCGCAAAACTCCTAGTTCGTCGGCACGTAAACGTTTATACCGTAATGACATAATCAAACCGGGACCATCGAGAGAAACCTCAAAACGAGCACTGTTCCAAAGTCCCGCCAAACATGTACAACAAAGAGCATCGCTGCCCAAACCGCCGCCAATGAAACCGGAGTTGGCAAATCGTGTTGAAAAGTCTAAACGGGCATTGTTATTTACACCAGAGAAACAACAAGAGCAAACCGATCACAAATTCATTACAACCACAGAAACCAACTCGTCGATCACCACCAACACAACACATTTTGCCCCATACAACAGTTCACAACTCGAATCGTTATTGAAACGTAAACGTAATCCCTGCGATGATGCTGACGATGTTGATATAGCGATGCAGAATAGTAAACTTATGAAAACAGGTAGCTCCGGTCTAACACCGCGCGCCTTGAAAATAAAAAGCCAAAGTTTTTGCATTGGGGCTGGTTCCTCATCAGCAAAACAACAATTGCCAAGTGCTTCGGCGGCCAGTCGGGGTATGACAACAAATGCCAGTTGTTCGAGCATAAGCAGCAGTAGCAGCCACTCGTTGGCAAGGGCCAGTTCGATAACATCACTGGGTGGTTCAAAATTACAAAAATCATATTCGGAAACAACGGCATCGTCGAATAGTCTAACCGAGAACCAGAAGAAGAAGCTGTTGTGGGCTGTATCACAGGCACTGCAGGAACGCAAGATTACAGCCAAACATGAAAGCTTCAAACAGTATGCTGCAACTTTGGCTCGGGTCGTGCGGCGGATATTCCAGGAATACTATCAGAAAAACAGTACAAGTAACAGTGAGACTATGTTAAGGTGTGTAACGATTTTGAGAGAAAACAAAAAGCTTTTAATAATTAAAAACTTTTATTAAATAATTTTCTTTTTTATTTCAGACTGGCCAAAAAGTATGTTTATAATGTAACAGCTGGCGGCACAGCCGATGACATTTATCTCCAAGCTAAATCCCAAATTGACGATACAAAACGCCAGTCTACCTCCCGCCTTTCTGGTTATATCGGCCCCGAGGAATACCAGCAAATGAAAAAACAACAACTTACACAACAATCATCGCAATCTCTGTTACAAGCCTCTCTGTCATCATCGTCGTTCAGCCATAAAGTTTCATCTTTGAATATATTCAACGGTGACAGTTCCTTCGATTCCTTTGGTCCAATCAGTCAAAATACCTCCGGCTTTTGCAGTGGCAACAACACAGCCATGTTGTCACAGACAAACAGTTTCTTGGGTCAAATATCACAGGACATTATTATCGAAACATCGCAATCGTCCAACACCAGGAGTGGGAAGAAACTGATGGTTGATCCCAATAAAAGCTTGCCCAACAGCTCTTCGAAAAGTAACATTTATGCTGATGCTTTGCGAGAGAATATGGACTGTGATGTAAGAAATTCGGCGCAGAAGAATTTCACCGGCAAAGACCAACGCAATATGATACCATATGCAGGCAACGGTGGTAATGGCGGCTCGGCGGTTAAGGCCCACACTCAATTGGTCACAGACATTATAACAAATAGTGCTAAGGCTCGGCGACAAATAACATTTGATACATAATGTTAAATGGTGTGTTGGTGCGGCGCTACTTCTTTAAATTATTCGTGTTTTTCGTTTATTACGACTAGTATTAAGACAACAAGAAAAGAAAAAAAAAAACAGAAAAAGAAGAAAAAAGGAAATCTACAAAAATATATTGTTGGCATTCTAAGGAAATTTATTTTGTTCTCATCAACAATGATAGTGTATAATTTAGTTAAATGTTTCAAATAGCTTTTAAATAATTTTTTAGTTACATTACTAACAAATGCGCTGCTATAGTGGATCGATGAAACCCCGAAAACGAAATGTCAAAACACACTGATCAAAGAAATAAATTTCTCTCTCAGTGTTGGTGAGGTTATTTTTGTTATAACTTTTTTGTTTCGTTTTTTTTTTATCGTTTATTTGGATTGTGGAAACCCACCTTGTCGATCTCTAAAAGTTCAATTTATTTTAAAGTTAATCCATCATTCATTCATTATTATTATTGGGAAACAATTTCTCCAACAGAGTGCACCGCACACATACCTTAGCTTGTATTTTTTTTCTTACTTATCTTTTTGGCGCCATCCTTCTAGCTGTTGTTTGCATTGTCTTTGGCGTCTAAGCAAGCAGCAGCGCCACAAATTATTTTATTACATTTTTTTCTCTATTATAAAAATTCATTGCAATATTCTTAAAAAAAATATCAATAAAAACAAATATTATATATTTTTACTGACCCTAGTGAATATTAAGATTTACCAATTACACAAATTTTCTAAAAATTGAATTATCAATAATAAAAAAAATTTCCAATACTGTGAATCAAAGTGTGTGGTCTATTTATTTATATATTGGGTCCTGGTAATGTAAATGTCGCCGAATTTGAAATACAAAATTCTGTTCAAAGTATTTTGAACAGTAACAATGATTCAATTTTGTATGCAGAGCATTGATATTCTATAATTTGGGACCTGGGCAATGCACGTGTTGCAGAATCGAGTTGGAATCTATATTGCAAAAGTAACAATGGTTCAATTTTGAATACAGAACATGAAGGAGCTTTCTATAAGAAAACGATCTATAATAGGTTAGGTTTGGGGATGTGCAGTCACTTATGTGGCTGTAGCACTCTGAGACCATTGTGATCATACAAGAAAAGAAAAGGATATGGAGAGATCTATGGGGGAGAAAAGAAGGGGGATAGAGAGATGAGAAACTTACAAGGAAGTGTGAGATAGTATCGATGACTATAGAGATCGGACGGAAGATATATATTACGTGTCAATATTGCACTTTCCCAACCACTAGGTTTCTAATTATGCTGTAGATTAGAGCAGGTTCCGTTGTTGAGAAGAAACTAAGACTCGGTGGAAAATGAGCACCACTAGTCTGTGCCGTCTGCAAGCCTGGACTGGGCAGCGACACAGGATATGCTCAATTGTCTCCGTCTCCTCCTCGTCAACGCAGAGTCTACAGTAAACAGTAGCATAATGGTCCCATTTACTGGTAAAGACCCTGATATTGCCATGACCAGTAATGATTCCTGTCATTACTCTTATTTCTGCTCTGCTCAGGTTCAACAGTGAGTGTGTCCTTTTGGTAGACAGAGTCGGCCAAATAGATCTTGACACATTGAACCTAGGTTCGTTGTGCCAGAGTTCATTGGCTCGTTCGTCGAAGAACGCCTCAAAGTTCCGATAAAGATGACAGATGGGTGGTTTGATTGAGCAATCAATTACTAGATCTGAAGATTGAGATTCTCGTCTAGCTAATTACAGGTTTTTATCACTTTCATTCCAGATTCGTTCTTTTTTTAGCAGATTTTGTGTAGAGACATGTCCGTCCGCTGTATCCTGTAGAGAAAAAGAGGTCGAAAGGGAGCCTCTAGATCAACAGGCCTACCAAGCAGGATTGAATCGTATTCACACGGATGCAGTTGAGGGAGCAATTCGAGAATATCGTGTGAATACAATCCTCGGAGATCACCCGCCTACGATGGCTGCAAAAGAGCAGCAGCTACTTCGACAAACCAGATTGGTCATGGCGCAATTAAGATCAGGATGTTATAGCGGCCTCAATTCATATTGGGCACGAATTGAAGGAGAGGTCGATAATATCTGCCCGGCATGTGGTAATGGACCACAATTAAAACAAAATATAAGGATTTTTTGAATTCGTTCAATTTTTCCATTGTTTTTTTTTTCTTTTTGTTTGTTTCGGTACTAAACCTGGTCTGCTGGAACTCATTCGTTGTGGCATATATGCTGTGAATATGTATATACTTTATAATGATAATTGTCGAACTTGTGGCTTAAAAAATAAATATTAATAAATCTTAAATTTTTAAGGGTTGAATTGCCAACCATCGTTTAAAAATCTAATGACCCGGGCACACCACAGATGCTAATGGATCGCGAGTCCTGCTGGATATATGTATCATAAAAATGAATTAATTTTAAATTTCTTTCAATAAAATTGAATTAAAAAAATAATCACAAGTACTTTCATATAAGTAAGAGTATATTTTTCCATTATCATATTAATTTAATCGCATATTATGAATTGTAATTATAATTCAACAAAATTTAATAATAACTAAAGCTTAAAAAATATAATATAAATATAACACCCACTATTTTATTTACGCCAATATTGCGCTAATTTATGTATTTGCTCGACCAAAGCAGGCATCACAGCTGTAATGGAGATATCCAAAAGACCCTGTAAATGTTGAACTGCCTCCTCATCGGTCAGGCCCAATTGTAGATTATCTTCAACTTTTTTAACAGCCTTATCGGGTTCCAATGCAATATCTGGCACAGAAGCATCGACCATTAAAGAGAATAAATTCAACACCACATTTGCATGACGTCTCAAATGTAAATATGCTGTATAACATTGTTTACGGAATTCATGATGATGTTCCGAGGTAACACCACCCATGGCTTCAACCATTTCTTTGCTCAATTTCATGGGCGGTGGCATTGGTTTGGGATCACGACCAAGTATATAGCCGAAATCGATGTGGAAAAGTTTACCGTTTGTGGTCAGTAGTAAATTATCCAAATGACGATCACCCACACCTGCAACAGGAGAGTTATTTTTAATTAATGAATTATAACATTTAATGAAAGAACCTACCCAATAAATAGGTGATAACACAATAACCAGCACAACTTTTTATATAGGTATCCATGGTTTCCGGTAGTATACCATATGGTGCCGAATCACAGGGATTATGTTTCCTAAAGAAATTCAATATACTACCTTCGCGCGCCAAAACATCAGCTACTGTATAGGAATCGATATATTGTAGAAAACCATGTTTGGAACTGGTTGCCAAAACCTTATATGGTGTTAATTTAAGATCTAGATTTTCCCGCCTCAACAATTTGTCCATTAGCGTGATCATTTGTAAAATCAATTGATCTTGCCGCAAATCGTCGCCATGTTTGAAAATTGCCACATATTCATGTTGGGCAATCGATGTAACAAATGTTAACCTGCGGAAAAGGAAGATAAAAATTATTTAAAAGCGAAGTTCATTATACCAAACAAAATTTTGATCTTCTAAGAGAAGAAAACCTTCTGGTCTTATAAAGAAGTATCAAAGAAGCTGACTTCTATGATAAGAACATCGATTGGTCGTTTATGAGAAGTTTGTAGTACAATGTTGAACAGAACTAATTTGAGAGTAAGTGTGGGAGAACGTGCTTCTGCTTCTTTCTAATTTCAGCAATGGTGATATGACGACAGTCAGGCTGGATAGGGGAAACTCGAGACCCCTGATAGTCTTTGCCGTCAATCTCCCCTACAAAGCTCTTGGAGGAGATGAGCAGCACTGGTGATCTTATCATCACTTCCACTGGGGAAGCAGCAACACTAACACGAGAGGTGAGTCCATTTTCGAATTTATACTTAGTTATAATCATAGAATGTGTAATAGGGGCAATACACCAACGTTCGATAATAGATTGAGAGGTGTCGTCATCGACATAACCCTAACTAATATGGACGACTCGGGGTTATGAACTGGGTAGTATCTGAGAAATGTTCCTTTTCGGACCATAGACTGATATTTTTCCAGATTCCTACCTTCAGAGGTAAATAGAAGCCTTATAGAATGGCAAAATCCGCTTGTTCTTCGGCGAGGTTGTCGGCAACAAATGGTCGAGAGAACCTGGATGCCTTATAGAACAAACTGGGACAAATTCAAAGACAAAACAGCAGCCTCAATCCTGGGGCAAGATCTTAAAACGATTTAGTTGGACTTCTAAAAATCCTTTGGTGCATCTATCCTACACTCCATCGGGCATATCAATCCAAATTTCTGCACCGGTTCGCCAAATACAAATGGTACCAAATTTAGTACTTTTCCAAAAAACGCAGTTTTATCTGACACCTTTGGATCAAGGGTGACCCTCACCCCAAATTTCGGGATTCTAGCTTCAGTCGTTTCGTCAGGGCGTTGATGAATCGTTAAGTCCGTCAGTCAATCACTTTACTTTTTTATTAGTATAGATAGATTTAAACAAAAAATTAAAACAAAACTTACTTTGCCGGCATCAGGGCACTCTTAAACAGCGACGTCTTCGATGGTACAATTTTCGTTATATAAATTTCCGGATCCAATGGAAATGGTATCTGTTCAAAATTTGTAAAGTTGATCTTAAATGTATCTGCTTCGGATAGCAACTTCTGAAATTTCTCCGTTTTCTTATTACGATTACCCGGTTCTTTGGCGACAATTTTCACCAAACGCACCAATTCATCGATGAAACGTTGTTGTTTTCTCAAATTATAGAATATACCACGCAAATAGAAATTGCCATTTTCCAGAACTTTTAAAAACATTTTCAATACCATATCGTACATTTCGTGTACACTTTCATCTTGTTTGCGCACTGATTCACAATCTTCCACTTCGATGGATAGATACCAATATAAGTAGTTGGCTAATGTCGGATTCCGACTAGCTCTTTGTATAAGGAATGTGGCGAGGTTTGTCGCAGCATTGGTCATTGTAGAATATTGAACATTTGTATTGTTGTCACTCATCAAGGTGTTGGATACATCGGATGGCAGGGAGCCAATTGAGGTTTCATTATCATCGGCCAGTGAGGAGTTTACCGATATTGCCATGGGCATTGTGGTGGAACGTTCTATTTGCACACCGGGACGTTGTATGCCACTGCGCTGGGTGGCAGTCAAAACAGAGGATGTACTACCCATTGTACCACCAGCACCACCACCACCTCCTATACTCAATTCTGAACACAAGGAACTTTGATCGAATAACGTTGAATTATCATCCAATGAACGTACTATATCACGATCGGGAAATAGACGTTTGTGCGACTCGATTATATCGGAGAAATTCTCATATTTTAGAGCTTGAACCAATTGCAGGAGATATAATAAAAGATCTTCGTCGGGCGCCTGGGCCAAACGGCTGATGGCATATTTCCGCACATGTGGATGTTTAAAACTTGGACTCAACAACTCTAAGGCATCTTCAACATCCATGGGTGCCCATTTATTCAGAAGTATGAGGGCCTGCTCAACTTCACCGGGTGTTTCCCAATTAATACATTTCAAAAATTTCGTCAACGCTTTCTTATGAGAACTCAAATAGAAACGGAATTTCCATAGCAAATCCTGTTCTTCGCTATTCAATACACATGTCGGGGGATAACGATAGACTATGGTATGTAATTGATCACGAATGCTGAAATTATTTTTTTTTAATTAACATATGTTAAGAAAGAAGGGTTCCAAGAAACTATAATACCTTGCTGTGGGTTTAGCATCTCGATCGGAAATACGTGACCTTACGGAACGGGCCAAACGGTGATGTTTTCTTTCGACGAGATTTTCCTACAATAACAACAAAAAATATTATAAAACACATAAAATATTGAAAACCTCAAGTTGTATTGGAAAAATATAAATAAAGCGGGTAAAACGGTTTCGGGGTTTTTCGTCCGGTTTCTGTGAAAGAAACACTTTTCTATTTTAATAGAAAACTTTAATAAAGTATTAAATGAAACTTTTTTTTCAAAAACAGGCAGTTGTTTTACAACATCACGCCTTTTGCGTGAGGTACTGGATATAATGGAAAGTATATCATTTACACGTCACATAACTATGAGCAGCCTCTGCATGAACGGGGCTTTGGATAGGTCCAGATCCATAGGCTCGGTAGGTCAAATCTTCTCCAGTATTTTAGTATGACATTTTTTTAATGACAGATATTTTCATGAAAATTATTAAAGAGAATTCTTTGGAAAGTTTTTTACTCTCCTAGGGATGTCCTATTCTGTTCTAAAAATTTAGATATAGCTCCCACATATTTTTTCCTCCGATTTTAAGTTAATTGAGCACCAAAGCCCCTATCTTTCTTTCAATTTTCACGAAATTTTGCATAGCTTACTCAATTGAGTCTAGAATGATGTGTGTTAAGTTTCGTGAAAATTGGTCCGATTGACACGAAATTTTGCACACCGTATAAAAATGAGACGTTATTGCGTTTTATGCAGACAAAGCTTCTATAGATATTTCGAACGGGTCTCAATCAGAGATTTAATTTTGAACAGTGCCTTAAATCGATGCTCATAAATTTGTCTGTAAAATATACCCATAGTGGTGAAGGGTATCATATAGTCATCCCAATCCGATTTAACTTCTTTCCTTACTGATTTTGGATGGAAATGTTCCCTTTTTGAAAAAACCACGTCCGTATAGCTCCTTACCACACAGTTTTTAAACGTTTTGTTATAACGCCACCTCCGAAAGTATTTCATTTTTAATTTTATCAATATCAAAAATCTTTTGAAGTAATATAAACATTTCGAGTAAGTAATGTTTTCGATTTCAAATCAAATAAATCGTTTCGGATAACTTTTGCTCCGGTCGCTTATTAAGTCGATAATTTTCGTTTTAGTGCGAAACAAGAAATGAAACGCAATTTTTTAATTTGAAATCGATTTTGGTCGTTTGTTATTGTTTTCTTTCCTTTCTACAATGTTGCAGACATTGAAGATATTGGCCAACGGTCAGGGTCAAGGGCTGAAGGTTATTAGTTATTCTAAATAAGGTCAATTATGAGACTGTTGTTTTGTTTGGTCTATATGGTGAAAACAACTATCAGTAAATTTTCAGACACCTTTGGAATAACATAGCATACAAATGTAAATGGTATTTTATTTTGAAATTTATTTTGTCTTACCTGCAAAATCTCCGAATCAGGAACAGTCACTAATTTTGGTTTATTGAGGAATTTATAATTCTTATCACCTTCAGGTTCAAAATACACAATGGAATACTGAAAAATGAGATAAAAGATTTAAATAACATAAGGATCATGTCAAGTTTAGAGGCTCCTCGCCGATTGCGTTTAATATATTTTTTTAAAGTTTAGGTAAATATCCACTTACCGTATAACAATCATCCACAACCACCGTAGGAAATTCAATCATTAAATACATATAATCCGACATACGCTTTTCACGTTCATTGATTAGTTCGATTTCACGGAATGTTAAACGATCCAACCAGTCGACTTTCTGAACTTGGCCATTACGATGTTTTTTCGCCAATTTACCCAAACGTTGCATTTGTGACTTCGAAGAATCTTTTCCTTTGCCAGGCGTTTTAGAGGGATATCCCCCATCGCCCTCAACACCCAACCAAACACGTAAATCATACATACCCTGACGAAACATACCATTTTTACCGAACAATGATATTGAGGTACCACCAATCACGGACGTTTGTCCGGCGCCAGCACAATCGAGTATGGTCAGCACCAGCATTGCTGTGCGTGGTAAATCGGAAAATTGTAATGGTAACGTAACCCATTCATTCCAACTCCAACGTTTGGTAAATGCTTTATAGGAGGTGGTTACTGGCAAACAATAGGGACGACCTTGATTGAAAATTTGTAAACGCACCTGAAACGAAGGACACTCTTCGGAATAAAGGCCGGAGAAGCGTAAAATGGGATCTTCGAGCAGTTTTTCATAGTCCGGTTGGCGTTTTTTGCCCTCAAGGGTGCCTCTGTAAAAAAGATGTTAATTTGTCAAAACTGGAAAAAAATAAATGGAAGATTTTCCTTACATTTTTATTTGCACCAATTCATTCAATGATGAACTATAAATATAGCGAAAATAATCGTTTGGCTGATCCATCGCTATGCTGAGATCAATAAACGTGGATTTATAGGATTTTCAAGTAACAAAATCAAAAATCTCTGTATACTCCCCCAAAACAACGTCGTTCCAATGATACGAATATTTGGGGATGGGCGGCAATGGGCGATAAAAAACAAGAACAAAACAAAATAGTTGATTTACTTTTGTGTTTACGAATGAATTTGATTCATACATACTTGTTTAGAAAATGACATAAGAAAATATGCAAAATCAGCTGATAATAGGTAGGCGAAAGGGCTTTGCAAGTCGAGAAACAAAAACAATCACAGCTGATTTACTAACCTAGCGCTTACTCTATGTTTACAAGCGACAGGACAGTTGAGTTCATGCATGAAATTGGGCATCCAGCAAATTTAAAAAAAGGTTCTTGAAGAACAAGAAACTAATAACAAATATTAAGGAGGAAGGTAAGAATAGTTTCGGTGGCTAAAAGGGAAGAAAAACATATTACTTGTTAAAACGGCGTATACATTAGAACTTTTTAACGGGTTAACTTTATGAGGATTTATTTGACGTATTAGCAAAGGACAATTGAAACCCACTGGGTTAACGAAATCCGGTTAAATGTTAACGTAATATATGGTTGCACTTTCCTAACCACTTTACGTTTCTAATGATATTGATTAGGTTTCTAAAGATATAGTTGAAAAGAAGAGACGGTGGAAAGTGAGCACCCACTTGTACTAGACAGCAACACAGGAGATGCTCAACTGTCCCCGTCTCCTCCTCGTCAGCACAGAGTCTGCAGCAATCAGTAACATCATGGTCCCATTTACTGGTAAAGGCCCTGATATTGCAATGGCCAGTAATGACTCCTGGCATTACTCTTATTTCAGCTTTGCTCAGGTTCAACAGTGAGTTTGTTCTCTTGGTTGACAGAGTCGGCCACATAAATCTTGACACATTGCAAATAGGTTCGTGGTGTCAGACTTCAATGGCTCGTTCGTCGAAGCACTCCTCAAAGTTCCGAAAAATATGACAGATGGATGGTTTGATTGAGACATCGATTGCTAGATCTGTAGATTGAGATCCTCGTCTACCTAATTCGTCTGTTTTTTCATTACCCATGATGTCACGGTGTCCTGGTACCCAACACAGCCGATAACTGTAAATGAGTGTTTCAAAAACTGTTCTACACTCGAGGACGACCTCAAATGTGATATTACAGGATTTGATGGCTTTTAGAGCCGCCTAACTATCCACAAAGATAGTCACCGGCTCAACGATCTCCGCATCCAGACTTTTTATCAATTGCTCTGCATTCCAAATAGCGAAAATTTCAGCTTGGAAAACACTACAAAACTTTGTTCAGAATTTACGGTACACGCAAATTCTGCTTTGCTCTGTTCGTTGAAAACAATTTTGTTAACATTTAATTTTAAAACTATTCCTTTTTTCCAATTAACTCCTCTCCTCCTTGGCTCACGTCCTATTTGTTGTTAGAAAAAAAACTATTCCTTTTACTGACACACAGCCGGCTTTTGTTTACAAACCTGTTGCTTTAATTTGTTCAAGTGAAGTTTAATTTTTAATTTTTGCAATTTGTATAATAAAATATATAAAAAATAATAAAATATTAAAAAATTCTTTAAAATGTAAACACTTTTGACGTTTCTTTCTTTTTGATTTTAATTCGCATATTTGGCAAAGAAAAATTTGCTAGTTGAAAAGCAAGCGAAAACAAAAAAATGCAAAATAACAATTTGCCTGTGGAAAAGGGGACCAATTGATATTAAAAACGACGTAAACTTTTCAAATAGTGACATCTATATTTGAAAATTTGAGTTTGGTATTGGTTGAAAAATTGTTTGCAGAAAAGTAATTTTCTGCATACTTTTGGGCGCCAATTATCCTGGACATCAATTCACCGTAAATTTGTTCGCTCTTCCCTTTAAAGTTTTTCTGAGCCAGAAGTAGAACTGAAATGAATTTGAAAGCGAAAAAATCCGTCTTGGAGAAAAATTTGTTAGTTAGGGAGTGGGAGAAGATCGGCCAGTAAGTTAATTCATAGAGAAAACAGCTGTTCTATTATGATTGGATTCAATTTTTTGCCGAGGCGGAAACTAATTATTTTTATTTATTTATTTAAAACTCGAAATATCTTTCAAAAACGTAATAATAGTAATGTTCTCGTATATTTTGGTTCGAATAAAAATATTCAAAATACTTGAAAATAATCTTTGTTTATTTAATCTTCAAATAATAAGTTTGACAGACAATGAAGACTTCGAATTCACCTCTCTGGTAAACTTATAAAAAACCTCGCGCGAAACAATTAGTTTCCGCCTCGACAAAAAATTGAATCCAAACGTAATAGTGCAGCTGTTTTCTCTATGAATTCACTTACTGGCCGACCAAATATAGGTTTTGCTATATGCTTTTCTTGGCATTGAATTGTTACATATACTGTTTATTTCAATTTACATTAAAATATTGGACAATATCCTTAATAAATTATAATATAACGATAGTTAGCTTTCTTCTGAATTATACATATCATCCAAAATACCTTTCCATTAAATCTATGATTAGTTTTAATAAATAGTTTTACGTTATTTAAGATCTTCTCATTGAGAGCATGGTATTAATTTCCCATACTATAATCCTTGTACGATCAATAATTTCTCTCAGTTGACGATTTTTTAATTTCACAGTGTCGATTAGCTCCTGATTTTCTTGTAAGGCTTTGCGATATTCTTCACATTGTGTAGCCTCCAGATTGCGATGTTCCGTTTCGTCTTTATAGGGTATTAAACTTTCAACATGTGCATATTCCATGCCTAAAAATAAAAAAAAAAAAAAATATCAGTTAATAATGAGCAGTAGAAATATAAAATACGATTATAAGGAAACTCAACAGGTTGTTTGTATGCAAATTATTCGACTAATAGTACGTTTACATTTAACCAGATTTTCCTGAACGTTAACCCAGTGGGTTTCAATTGTCAATTCCTTTGCATACATGTCAAATAAATCCTCATAAAGTAGGATAACCCGCTAAAAAGTTCTAATGTATATGCCGTTTAAGAAACTTTTTATTGGGAGCTACTTATTGTAATTAATCCCAATTCCCCATCGTTGGATATCGCCTACCTCGCAGTTTGCCATTGAAGTTTATTGTCGGCTAGTGCCGACACAGGACCTGTTGGAGTCAGACTTGTAGTCGGACTGTCAATAAGGTCTACGCTTCTTTCTTTAAGGCTACAACATTCCCCTGTGTAGACTTGGCCGGAATCACAGAGGTGTCCAGCTCATCATCAGTCAGGGTAAGATTTAGTAGCAGTTCTCCCGGAAGCGTTTCCCAACATTGCTCTTCCGGTACAAGTCTGTCTAACTGGTCGACGATTTCCCTACTCTGCTCCTCTAAACTATCGTGGATAGCGTTAAAGGTCCCGTGTAGGTCATCCCCTCCCAGAACTACAGTCCTGTAAGTCATAGACTGATTTGCATCAGTTTTACCCTTACCAATTGAATTGCCGGTTCGTCAACGTTATTTGGATTTGAAATGTATGTGCTTGTAGCAGATACAGTTGCAGGTGCCAAGGCATCCATCCAGCTGGCGCTTGATTTCAACGTCATGTGGCTTTTGATCTCACCAACTATTGCCGTCGGTATTGGGTTATTAACTCCCCGTAACTTTATTCCTCTTATTCTTCTTAACTATCGTTGTTTATTAATTTAATGGCACTACCCCGATCCATTTTGGTTTCCACGAAGTCCATTGAAATAGATCAGTTTCACCCTGCACAGCGTGGAGACCCCCTTCCCAACCGTCACTTGGAAAGACGTTGGAGATTCGAAACTCCTCCTTGAGTATTAAGAATTACTCTTAAGGACAGGCGGAAAACTCAGACATTTTTTTTAATTAAAATTATGTGAATTTCGTGTAACCAACGGAGAGTGTAAACTAGACTTAAGCCAATAAATTTCCAATAGTGACCGTAAACATTTGGAAACTAGGTAAAAATGCCAATCCTACCTTGTGGATAACCATCACTGCATCGTTCATAGATTAGACGCATACGCTTGAACAGCAGGCGTATGGTGCGAAAGTGTTCTTGAACTTTTTTAACAGTGCCATTGTCCCGGCTGGTTGTTGGTTGTATGACCTTGAGAGCGGTGAAAATTTCCTGGAATCTTGAAGTAATATCTTGTACGGTTTCTTGTCCCACACGTGATAGCGTTACAATATTAATTTCCTTGTGTGGCTGTTGGGAAATTGACAGCATGTTATTTGATGCTTGAGGTTGCTGCTGTTGTTGTTGTTGTTGCGGTTGTCCTGTATTTTGCATCATCTGTGGTAACTGCTGTTGTTGTTGTTGCTGCTGAGGCATTTGTTGCTGTTGTGGAACTTGTTGCTGCTGTTGTTGTTGTTGCTGAGCCATCATGGCCATGGCAGCAACATTGGGAACATTTTGCATATGTGAAGCCTGTTGTTGCTGTTGCATACCAACATTAGGTTGTTGCATTGCTGGAGACAGCTGGGGTTGTTGTTGCATCATACCACCACCTAGTGAAGCTTGTGGTACTCCACCACTACCCATACCAACATGACCCATTCCCATGCCCATTTGGGGTCCACCTACACCGCCCATTTGCTGTTGTTGCTGCATTTGTTGTTGTTGTTGCATTAGCTGCTGTTGGACATGTGATGGCGATTGCATTCCAACGGGATTCATTCCGCCACCACCGCCGGACATTCCTTGCATTGGATTACCCTGTTGTGGCATCATGCCGGCACCAGCCTGTCCATACATTTGCATTTGATTCATCATTTGTTGTTGCTGCTGTTGTTGTTGAGGATTAAATTGGCCGCGATGACCCCCCATCGGGTTGTTATAGCCACCAGGATATTGACCGGACATTTTTCGAACACGGGTATTCTCGACGAAATAATTGTTTGCAACAACTGACTTGTATCGTTCCGGACGAGCTGGTTCAACGGCATTATTCCGCTAAGGGAATGAACGGAAATAGGTCCGGCTGCATGGGTTCACATAGTTCCACCAGTCGTATTATCAAAATTGAACATAATTTAATTCATCATCAGTCGTTAACAGAAAAGATGAAATTTTTATTTTTGAACTTAAATTGTTCCGCAAAGATACTCTCTTCGAGCAAAAAGTGATCCTTTGGATTCAAAATTTGGAAGATTTTCAACTAAATGGACCTTGGTTTAAGCGTTTGACACTGGTTGCCGGATCTGTTTTCATATATTAAAAGAAATGTGAATCAAGAAACTCTTTTCCGGAACGAGCAGGAAAAACGTTGAACCATGGCCTATAAATAAGGTCACCAAGGGAGACCAGCTGATTATCGATACCTCTCAAGTTTGCTGTCAAAATGCATTATTGTGAATTGACTTCTATTATGAAAAAGTAAACAAAGTTGAAATTTTTGACATTAGACTTGAGAAAAAACAGCTGTTTTCCGATTTCGATTGCTATCTTGGTTACCTTATTAATATATCTTGCGTTGAACCGCTTCCGAAAGCACCATGCCTAGTTCCGTTCGTTCCTTTTTTTGAAACATTTCCTATGAACATGTTTAGTTTTGTTTAATTTTGTCCAAATTAACAACGTGTGCCGGTGGGCACTGGAAAAATATCCACAAAATACAACATGAATAAACGTGAAGATGCCTTGATAGAGGTATGTTTCATAAAATCCACCATCTGATCCCAATAAATAAAATTTTACTTCTCCTAAAGGCTATACAAAAGAATGCCGAAGAAACTGAACGCTGGAGGACGTATCTAAAGGAAAATGAGACGGCCAAAGAGAATTTGGCAATGTTCCAGAAACGCTACACCGTTGAGGTAATGGTGCCGGTGGGCAAGAAAGCCCTAATGCCTGGACATCTAATACACACAAATGAAGTGTTGGTTGGTCACTATCAAGGATACTTTTCAAAATGTTCGGCACACACGGCGGGTCAGATATGTGATTTGCGCATTAAAACCGCCAAGGAACACTTAAAGAAATTGGAAACCGAATTGGAGATGTGGCAGTAAGTAAAACGGGAAAATATTGGATAATGATTTCTAGGAATAATACTTGTTTGCCTTTAGAAACAAGTTGGAAAAACCTTATGTCGAAGGTGTAGTGCCAAGTGGTGAGGAACGTGAAATCATCGAAGACTTTGATGAGGAAAAAGAAAAGCTTTGGAAGGAACAACACAAAATACGAGTACGTGAGGCGAAGCAACAGGAAAAATTGGAACGTGAAAAGGAATTGGCCAAGGAACAACAAAAATCCAAAGAAAATGAAACTAAAGAAAAATCCGATGAGGAAATATTTAAAATGTTGGAGGAAGCTGAAATCATGGAAGAGTTGGAACAGGAATTGGAAAATTTGGAAGTTGATGAGGTCAATGATGAAACCATAAGGAAACTAATGTCTGGAGAAATGCATTTGCCACCGGAAAAGAAAAGAGTGGCGCATGATCTAGCCAAGAAAGAGGAAACCGAAAAGAAAAAGGATGAAAAGAAAGAAGAAAATGAAAATGTTGAAGGAGCCACTCTACAAACAAATATTGTCAAGAAAACATCCCTGAAAAGTAATAAGGTTATGGCAACAAATAATAATGTGGTTCCCAATCCGGAAATAAGCGTAGAAAACGCTGATGACGATGAAGAACCCCTGCCGGAAGAAGTGAGAATTATCAAAGAACAGGCCAAATTTCTCGACAATGAAGATCAAATTGGTTTCTATGAATATCAAATTGAAATAATACGACAAAAGATCAGATCTTTGTCATTACGCAGTGAAGAGGATGTCAATGAAAAGGTGCGACTACTAACCGTATTAGATCATATGGAGGAGTTGTTGGATTTTGCTGAAACAGCAGCCGGTAATGAAGAATTAGAATTGGCTGAAAAGCAAGAAGAGGAATCGGAAAAAGAATCAAAGAAGGAAGAGGAGGCACATAACGATAAGGAAAGTGCCAAAAGTACACAAAAGAGAAGAATCTCCTTTGCCGCCGAAGATCAAACATTGGAATTTTGTAAAAACGAGGCAGTTACACAAATGTTACCCAAGCGAGACATTATTCGTTTAGATGATGATGACGATCTGACTAAAGCAAAAGATAAGGAAAATATTCCTCCTGTTGCTGCCTCGCCCGATAAAAAAGATTTAATAAAAGCCAGAGTAGAACAAAATTTCCAATTTGCTTCGGAAACCCAAAGTAAACAAGATTTTGATTTGGTTAATAAGATATTGGAAACTTCGATGGGTAAAATTAATACGCTGCATATAAAATTTAAACATTCCCCTGCCTCTCCTTCTTCTTCTCAGAGTGATAAAGTGTCAAACACAATAATGGAAAATGTCGATAATAGAGATAGTGAAATTCCTGGAAGTCCAGCGGATTTTTACGATTTATATTTAAAATCATTGGAAGGCCAACAGGAAGAGCAACCATCCACGTTGTTCATTAACAGCTATGAGGGTGAGGATAAAGTTAAGATTCCAGTTTTAAAAGAATCGGATCGTCAACAGGCCTATACAGATCCCAAGGCAGAGGTGAGTTTGATAAAAAAAATCAGGTTGCTCTATGTAATGAAGACAAATGTGTATCTAGAATTAGTATACACCTTGAACGGCTTCTCATGGAGGTCTTCCATTGATTTGAAGAGGCATCAGAATGGCTTCTTAAGAATAATAAACACCTGAAGAAGGTTTGCATAGAATTCAGAACGTCTAAAGAGGTGTTCTACAGAATAAAAGACGTCTGAAGAGGAATTATATTTGATAGAAGGCGATAGAAGGATAGAAGGTTATATGGCATAGAAGACGTATGAAGAGGTTTATAGATTAAAAGACGTTTGAAGAGGACTTTTATAGGCAATTAAACGTCTAAAGGATAGAAGACGTCCGAAGAGGTTATCCATAGGATAGAAGACTAAGAGAATATAATAATCCTAGGAGGTTCTTGCCTTGTCCCGAAGAGATCTTCTAAAGAATAGAAAACGTCTGAAGTGGGCATCTAAAGACATATTCTGTAGAATAGGTTTCTGAAGGGTTTTTATAGAATATAAAAATATAGATAAAGGATCGTTGACTAAAGAGGTCTTCTGTAGAATAGATCTCTGTAGGTTTTTTTATAGAATATAAGAATCCTAGGAGATTCTTGCATTTTCACAAGGAAAGAATTGTGTCCATTGCGTCCCTTATCCTTATTTTAATCTGAAATTGTTTCCTTTTTTAGTTTTCAAATCCAAAATCAATATTGAGAAATAAATCTGCTGTGGACAAGGAAAATCAAAGCAATGCTGCAGAAACGGAGCAAGTCGATAAAAAGAAAAAACCAAAAAAGAAAAGGACACCGAAAGAGGAAGAGGAGTTCTTAAGTGCCTATTATAAGGTAATTTAAGCCGACAATATGGTTCTAAAATGTGTATTAATTTCTCTCATATTCTTATAGGTTATGAATGATGTTGTGGAAAAGCCAATAACAGAACCAGAACCTTTGCCTGAGGGTAAATTTGTTGATGCCCATGCGCCCAAACGTAGGGTGAGCCGTTTTAAGCAAATGCGTCAGGGAACTGAAAAAACATAAATTTTTTCTTCCAAATAAAAAAACATTTTGTTTTCAAAAAACAACATAAAAACCCACTATAGAATTAACATCTCTACTATAATTTATTTTTTAATATTTATAATTTGTTTTTCGTTTTTTAGCAAATAAATTGAAAACTGAAAAATATTCTCAAGTCATTCTCAACATCAATTTTAAGAGTAAACATAAAAACTATCAGTTTTAAAAGATAACTTTGTTACATACACAACTTTTCTTATTTATACAATTTCCTCATCAGTGTATAAATTTAAAATTGTTTTATATATATAATAGATTAGCTTAAATTATAGTAACTTATTATATTAAAAAAATAATAATAACTATTAACTTAAAGCGTACAGTTTGTATTAGCGCTGCACTTCTAATCTTCAAGACCTAAAAATTCTCTTTCTAAAGCGGCACCCATCATATTCCAATCGCCATCATCTTCTTCATCGGGATTGTTGTCATCACTACCGTCATTGGAGTCGGAATTGCCAATATCCAAATCAGATGGCAAATCTTCACCTGGAAAAGAAATAAATTTGATTTGAAATTCTTTATGGGGCTAAAATTCAAGGGAACTTCTTACCCCTTCTAAATTTCTCACTGGGCATTTCCTCTTCTTCCTCATCCTCTTCATCCTCACTGGAAGTCTTATCATCCAAATCTTCACCGCGGGCAACTTTAGCTGGCAATGCTCCCACCGAATCGGGTTGTGTAAAGAATTTGCGTGTCCTCTCCTCTTCGTTTTCTTCACGTTTACGTTTTCTCAATGTCTTATCGACGGGAGGATTCTCTGCAATACAAAAAAATGTTTTTTAATATTGCAAGAATTTCTATCAGTCCAAAATTTAAATCTACTTACCAATATTAACATGTTCATCTTCTGATGATGAATCTGAATCGAAAAATTGATCAAATTCTTGATTCATATCGGCCAAATCGGCATTCGAAAATGACAATAGCGGATTGATGGTATCAATAAATTTTTCCGGTTCCGAGGCATTCTGTTGTGCTGAACTTGAGGAAGATATTTCCGATTTATCACTGTAATTGACCACATGTTCCGGACTATGACAATGTGCTGGTGGCTGACGTTGTTTGCTGCGTACTTTACGATCGAGTGGGAACAGCTTCTCTTCAACATGTTCCCATCGTTCGGCACAGGACCACAACCAATTAACATTGACGATTTTAATGCGGGGATTCTTTTTGGCGGCATTTACCTTAAAGGTACCAGCAGTAACGGCTACCAAGTGGGTAGTATCTGAGGAGAGAAAAGGGTATACATTAAAAAAGGGTTGCCATACTAGCAACATTATCAAAGAAAACAAATGAATACACAATGGAAAAAACTCCGCGTTTTAGGTGTAGATCGGGTTGACTGAACTGGAATCCATAACGTAGTTTAACAGTTTAATACATTTTAGTAGCGATAACGATTTTCCGGTATATAGTGATACACTTTATAAGGCACGGAGCGAAACTGATTACACGGATGGTGAGAAGAGGCCCATAGAGAAGCGAAACTGGTTACACGGATGTAGAGAAGGGGTATTACATTCATCATAGGGGCGGAATCGGTTATTCGGTTTACCGATCATACGGATAGGAATCGCTAAACAGGCCCATAGAGGAGCGAAACTGGTTACACGGATGTAGAGAAGAGGTATCGAATTCATCATAGGAGCGGAATCGGTTATTCGGTTTAAAATTAAATATGCATATTGCCGTACCAAATTAGTTTTTTGATAAACGGATTTAGGAAAACCTGTTGTACCGAATCGAGCTTAGGTAGCGGTTACAGTTACCCGAGTTTTAGAACCGGTTGTATGTACGCAACTCCACATTAATTTTCCTATATTACTGATCGATTCACTTAAAGCGGTTCCGATGACTGCAATGGTTCATGCCTAACTAACCGGTCCACATGTTCCGGTTCGTAGGGTTATAAATTAGTTCCACTGTTATCTTTATGAAGAATTTTCGTTGATTATCGAACAAAAATTTGGTCCGTACCATTGATAAAATTAGTTATACGGATTTAGCAGATCCTGTTGTACCGAGCGGATCCGGTTACTCGAGTTTAAGAACCGGTTGTATGTACACAACTCCATATTAAATTTCTTATATTACGGATCAATTTAGTTTAATCGGTTCTGATGACAACAATGATTCATGCCTAACTCACATGTTCCGGTTCGTATGGTTATAAATTAGTTCCACTGTTATCTTCTTATTTAGAATGAAAATAAATTAAACCAACCTGCATTAATGTTCTGTGACACCTCCGCGCCCAAACTTTTTGCAATAAAATAGGCTCGCGATTGTTGCAATTTCATATTTGTCGGCACCAAACCGGAAAATACCAAATGACAATTACGCAATACTTCCGAACGTATTTTCGGTACGATTATTTTTAAGTCGGGTATTTCTTTTGTCTCATCGTAAATGCTATAGAAGCGAGCATGAATCTGCTTTAATATGACTTCCAAATGTAATAGATAATCATCGGGATCTTCGATTTCTATTTGTTGTGCGGGATCTTGTGGTGCTTTAAATTTGGGCGATTTTTCTTCGGCTGGCGGGGGGTCGACAACGTCTTTCGGCGTACCTGTTGTTGTTGTTGCAATTTGCACCTCTTTTTCAACCTTTTCGGTAACTTCCGCCGCTTCGGAATTTTCTTTTTCGATTGCTTCTTTTGTTGGATTTTCCGTTGTTGGCGGACTTTCTGCAGTTCCTGGTGTTGCTGCTGCTGCATTTGGGGTTTCTTCTACCTCTACTTCTTCTGAAGCCTGAATATCAGGCATATCTGTATCAACTTTTGATAATGTTTCAGTTGGGGTGGTATCATCTTCTTTAATCGAGGCAGATGGGTCATCTACATCTTTAGGATCTTCTGCGGATTTCGTTTCCATGTTATCGGTTTTTGTTTCCATTTCATTGGTTTTTGTTTCCGCTCCATCGGTTTTTATTTCCTTTTCAGTGGATGTTGCCTCAGAAGTTGGGGATTTCTCATTATCCTTTGCACCGGATTTTTCTTTATCTTCTGTGCTAAGATTTTCAATATCTAAAAAATTTTTTTTAATTAAAAAAATGAAGTTTTAAAAATTGTATTTTAAAGAATTTACTTACCTTTGAAATCCACACCTTCACCATCCAATTCATGCTTGGACAAACCTGGCGGAGCATTGATATCGCCAGTGTGTTGGAAAAAATGATAGGGCTTAACTTGAATGAGATTTGAAGCCATATTCCAAACATCTTCACGATCATCAATGATGCAGACCATCGAATCGCCATTGGGAAACAGGGCCCTATTTCAAAAGAGATTTATTATCATGTTTCAAATTTTTATTAACTTTTCATTACTCACTTCAAATTATCCGTTTTGCTGGTGGCATTAAAACACTCATCTCTCGACAGAATACGATGTGAAAAGAATTTACCCTCCGGATCCAAAAGTTGGGCAATCATATGGGCATAATTGCGTGCACCAAATGTACAAATATGCAATTCATAATATTTGGACATTCTCTCTAAGAACTCGGGTGTTCCGGGCCGTAAACGTGTATGATACCATGGCGACTGGGGGCCATACAATTGAAAATGATATATACCTTTTATGTTATTAGGTACATTATCGTTGGTTGTGTGTATAACCGTCTGATCCAAATCAACCAGTAGCACAAGTTTGCGATCCTGCAGCAAACGTCGTGTATCATCGTGTCCCAATTTTTGTGCTAGTTTTTGTGTTACTTTTAAATCGGGTATGGAATGAACCATGGGTACAGAGGCCTCAGATACATTGCCCTGATTATTGAAAATGTGAAAATATTTAATAAAAAACGTATATTGAAATAAATTAAAATACATATATAGAAGTAAAATCTTTGAGAAAATACGGCAGGGAACTTCAAAATACCTATAAGGTTAGGAACTTCAAAATACATAAAATATTAGTTATACCAAAATGTGGACATACATTGACAAATTTTACCTCGTTTTTTTTTTGTCAATGTAAACCCCAAAATAGGAAATATAGGTTTTGATCTCAAATTTTAACAATTTTTGAATCCTTAAAATACCAAATTGAAAATTTTGTCTGGGGCCTAAAACGGGGCATGGTATCTTATCTGTGAGGATTGAGGCGATTACAGCCACTGAGATAAAATCCTTAAATATTCCGAAAATCGATGGTACTCCTATAACCTATTTGCAATATCAAATATCGTAGAGTAGTACCAATATATGCCCGATCCTAACCTATTAAAATCATCATTTGAAGACGCTATATATATCAATATATTGTGCAATAAATATAAATAATACAGGCAAAAACGGTAGTACTCCCGGAAAGGTCATTCCAAGAGCTATCCAAAAACGCTTTAACTGGAAATTATCTATTTTTTATACCCTCCACCATCGTATGGAGGGTATATTAATTTTATCATTCCGTTCGTAGTTCATCGAAATATAAATTTCCGACCATATAAAGTATATATATTCTTGATCAGGTTTGTTCATCGCTCGTCGAAATATTAATTTCCGCTCATCGAAATATTAATTTCCGACCCTATAAAGTATATATATTCTTGATCAGGGTAAAATTCTAAGACGATCTAGCAATGTTCGCCAGTCCGTTTGTTGTAAGCACGCTATCTTCTATAGGAATTGCATTTGCATAGATTCATATTTTGTCTGCAGGCAGGTCAAGTTCGAAGATGGGCTATATCGGTCCACGTTTAGGCATAGCCCACATATAGGGGTACCGCCCAATTTTCGATATTTTGGTTTTGTACATTAGTTTTTTTCGGTACCAAATGTCTTCACTAAAAATTATAAATATCGGTCCATTTTTTCTGATAGCCCCCATATAACGGTACCCTCCAAATATGAGGGTTTTAAGGGTGTTTTTAAACAGAATTCGCAGAAATTTGGTACAATGGGTTCTTATTAGGCACCATATTTCTTCACTAAAAATTATAAATATAGGTACATTTTTTGGGTAGCCCCGATATAAGTTCACCCACCAATTTTCAGTATTTTTGGGCTTCTTGAGCGCGCATTTCAACCGAATTCGCTGAAATTTTGCACATTGGGTTCTTATTGGGCACCAAATTTCTTCACTAAATTTATAAATATAGGTAAATTTTTCGGGTACCCAATTTACTTTTTTTGGGAGTTTTAAGCGCGTTTTTAACCCGAATTCGCTGCTATTTGGTACAATGGGTTATTATTGGGTACCAAATTTCTCCACTAAAAAAATTATAAATATCCGTCCATTTTCTGGTAGCCTCCATATAACTGTACCCTCCTAATTTACGGTATTTTGGTGTTTTAAACGCGTTTTAAGGTGAATTCGCTGAAATTTGGTACATTGTTTTTTTTTTTTTTTTTGGTTACCAAATTTTTTCACTAAAAATTATTAATATACGTAAATTGTTGGGGTAGCCTTCATATAAGGGCACCCCCAATTTTCAATATGTTTGGGTTCTTGAGCGCGCTTTTCAACCGATTTCGCTGAAATATTGTACATTGGGTTCTTTAAGGGTACCAAATGTCTCCACTACAAATTATAAATATCGGCTACTTTTTCTGGAAGCCCCATATAACGGAACCCCCAAATTTACGGTATTTTGGGGGTATTTTGTACATTGGGTCCTTTAAGGGTACCAAATGTCTTTACTACAAATTATAAATATCGGCAACTTTTTCTGGAAGCCCCCATATAACGAAACACCCCAATTTACCGTATTTTGGGGGTTTTAGGCGCGTTTTTAAACCGAATTCGCTGAAATTTGGTACAATGGGTTCTTATTGGGTACCAAATTTCTCCACTAAAAATAATAAATATAAGTCCATTTTTTCGGGTAGCCCCATATAAGAGCACCCCAATTTTCGATATTTTGGGGTTCTTGAGCGCGCTTTTCAACCGACTTCGATGAAATGTTGTACATTGGGTTCATTTAGGGTACCAAATGTCTCCACTACAAATTATAAATATCGGTGCACTTTTTCTGGTATCCCCCAAAAAATGCCCAATTTACGGGGCGTTCTTATTGGACACCAAATTTCTTAACTAAATTTTTTTTCGGGTAGGCCCTATATAACACACCTTCAATTGTCGGTATTTTGGTGTTCTTGAGTGCGTTTTTCAACCGAATTCGCTGTAATTTGGTATTAATATTCGCCCCCTTTTTTTAGGGGTAGTTCTTACATAACCCATATCAAAATAGTAAGCTGATTAGTTCCGTGTGTAGGCGTATTTGAGGATTATAAATTCTACCATGCGTTATTAGTATCAGTCCATGCTTTGGGGTTTTCATTAAATTTGTTGTTACATAAACCGGTTTGTAGAATTATCGGTATAGGTTCACTTTTTGGTATGTTGCGTATATTTTCATTGCAAGTATCTGTCAGTATACCTATGTTAGAGGGTAACATCGATGCTTAAAATGGCACACTAATATGGAACACGGAAGCCCACTAAGAGTACTTTCAGAAAATGCATATTTCATAAAAATTAATTTTGAATTAAAAAAAAATACCAATATGGAATCCGGCATTCAAAAGCCCAATAGGTGTGTTTTTTTCTGAAATTGTTTCCGAACTTCCGGGTCAAATAATCGTGTACGTCCCCCAAGAAAAAAAAACAATTAAAAATAGTTTTCCCAAAGGGGACTTATTAAATGTTTTAACTGTTCGCAGCATTCTCCATTATCCTTCAAAGTGGCAACCCCTTTCCCATTTGTTCAACAATATAACATGGATGTGTTATTTTTGTTTTGTGATATACATTGTGTTATGTTTCCCTCTTCAATTTGTTGTTGTGTTGTTTTGGTAGCGGCCGCTGCTGCTGCCGCTGTTATTGTTGTCTTTGGCCAATACACAACAAAAGTAACAACCACCTCTACTTTCTCCTACCACCACCCCTACTAATATAATGTTGTCATGCAAATCGGTTGGCGATTGTTCGACGGCGCGAAAGCACCGCAAGATGAGTTGAGACCCAAAGAAGGTCGGTCGTTCGGTCACAACATATATTGAAAATAAAGAAAGAATGCAGAGGAGAGAAAAACAAAAAAACAATTATACTTACATTTTCATTTTGGCGCAAATCTGCACCACAATCGGCGCACATGTCTTTAATGACAGTCGTATGAATACATGGCGAGAGTTCCAATAATGGAGTACTATATAATGTATACAGCAGCAGCAACAATAATAACACATGAAAGAAAGAAGAAAAGCAAACAAAAATCATAGCAAAACATAAGCATCAATACAACATTTTGGATCGATAGATACAATTTTCCTTTTTTTTTTTTGTATATAGGTATATGACAACAAACAAAACATACTCAGCCTTAACGATGGCCCCATCCTTGTACAGGCGCTTCTTTACAACACCAACCCTTTGAGCCTTTAGTTTATGAATTGTGGCGTCTGTTGGTTTTGGAGCTGTGGTCTCGCCACTTTTCCCTTTCTCCTTGTCGTCAACATCGTCGTCGTTGCTGGCAAGAGCTTCATATAGCAATATAACTTGAGAGGCGCTAACCGGAAAGCCCTCCCTAACCCTCCAACGATTAATCTTTATGCGTGGATGCTCGGTGGGCGCTTTTATAACGATAGCGCCTTCGTTTGTTTCATCACTTAAAACGTCCGACATTTTTTCGCTGCGTCTTAGAACGGTTTCTCGGTACAAAATTTGCAAAATAATTGCCCGATTTTTCTGTATTTTTTTATTTGTGAGGGAAAAAAATACAACAAAAATTTGTCTCTTCTTCTTCCTTTTGTTTTTGTGTTGCAGGGCTATGGAAATCGAACGACTAACTTTCGAGAATGAAGATGGAATGAAAGAAATCTGAAAATGCCACTAAGCATTCACTTTGCAATGATAGTTCGGGTTATTTACAAACTAGAGATCTATAAATCGATTAATGGCTTGGGGGAGGAACTAGGCATTTGGCGGGAAAATTTGAAATGTATATAAAATATGTTCGAATGTATTTGCTTTATCATGAAGTATACAGCCTATATTCGCTACGGAGAGATCTCACTTGTGAAACATTTCACACACTAATAGTAAGTTTACATTACATTTGTATACATGCCAAATAATTCCTCATAGAGTAGGTTAACCCAGTAACAAGTTCTATTGTAAATGCCGTTTAGTTTTTACCCAAAGAGGATTTTTTGCCTTTCGAGCTTCTCTCAGAATAAGAGGGAAGTGAAAATGCAAAAAAAAAAAAAAAAAAAAATCGCTGCGAGTTCAGAATAAATTTAATTTAAGTCTGATAATATTCACAAATTTGTAATACGTTGAAAAATATATCATGGATACGGCATACCTTATAACGGTCACGTGAGACTCATATGATAGGTTAGGTAAGGGATGTACGGTTGTTAGTAACAACCATTCACTCAGATACAATTGTCCATTGTTAGTAACAACCGTTCACTCAGGAGAAAATAGTTGGAGTAGGAGAGCCATAGCCATGCCAGATTTTTGACAAAGCCTAGGATCTGATTGGGGTCTATTTTGGAGAACAAAGTTAGATTATAAATTTAATATCTTTCAAACTGTTTGTGTCTTCTGTCACTCAGCGATGGACATCTACAGAGGATATGTTCCTCTCCTCCTCTTCGTCTTCACATCGATGACAATAATTCTCTCCGTTGGAGTCCCATTTCGAAATGAGGGATATAATTTTGCAGTGACCTGTTATGATCCCCACAATAATTTAATCGCTATCTTATTATGTGACAACAGCGAAGAAGTTCTTCGGCGAGAGAATTCAGGACAGATAGCTTTTGAGATTCTGCAACCAGGTTCTCTACCATCTGTTGCCGACTATCTCGCACTAGAACAAACGGATTTTTCCAATGAAATAGTCAATGGACAATCTGTGCAACAAATCTCTCAATCGGAAGATTGGGCAACTGTGAACCCCCTCGAGCAAGCTCTCGGCTATCTTGTTCCCTTCTATGTTGCAATGTCCTGGAACTCAACATAAATTAACTATCCGTCGTATATCATGCAGAGCAGACTTGCAATCAAGAACTTCTTTTGAGTTTATAGTGCGCGACTTTAAAGCCTTGAGGGCCGCCTGACTATCGACATCTATAGTCACCGGTCCCGCAGTAAGTGTTTTGACTATCTCGGCCTCTTTCGTGATTGCAAAGATTTCTGCTTGAAAAACGCTACAAAGAATGTTAATATGAGTTGTAAATTTCTACTTCCCTATAGTAAACGCCTGCACGAGTGGCTTCCTCCATCTTTGACCCGTCTGTGAGAAATGAAAAAATAAGGAGCCACTAGTCCAGGATTCCCTATTAGGACAATCTACTCTGATGTCATTAAAGTCTCTAGGAGAGGAAACATAGTCACTAATGTGAGTATTTCTCCTAAAGAAATCACAACCTGGCGTTATGTTGAGTATGATCACGCTAGAACATAGATCAGCGTCTTCCAGGCATCCGTTTCTCGGAGCCTCAGGGCCTATCTAGCAGCCTGATATTAAATCAGGCCATGGTTGGAGATTCAAGATCGCAATCAAGGCTGCCTACGGTGTGCTTCTTAGCGCTCCGTTAGTTAGGATCGAAGCCGATCGCTATATTGAATTTATTTTTGTCAGCAGAATCTTTTTGTTGACCCCTGCCACCATACAAGGCATCCATATGTAAGAATGGGGAGTACGACCGTCACATACAACCAGTGTATGATCTCTGGCCTTAGTCCACAGCTCTTTCCTATGGAGTTCTTGCAGGAGCAGAGTTCTATTAGTCCTTTCTTTTCTTGCTTTTTCAGAAAGGGGTAAGGTCACTCCTACCAATGGCGGCAAGTGGAAATTTTCTTAGTGAAGAGCACCAATTCTGTCTTAGTGGGGATTACACCAAGACCTTTGGCGTATGCCTTGTTGGACAGTATTATATGATACTGGCATCTATAAGTATGAGATGTGTTCCAAACGCTACAATATATTGTACTATTTTACCAATTTCTGGCAGAAAGGTGCCGAAAACTAGTAACAATTGAATCAAATTAAAAAAAGAAAAATTAAAAAGACAATTTTGACTTAGCACGGAATAGTAAATCTATGAATTTGTTTCAGGTTTCTGTAGTCACACATGTTCCCATACATTGGAAAATTTAAATTTTATTCTCTACCCAAATGATTTTTTTACATTTCTATTCCTCATATTTTTGTTAAAAGATTTTTTTCCAGGAATGGGAAAATACAATACCCAATGAAAACGGAGGAAAGTTCAGTTTAAGTTTACAAATGTATATTTACCTAAAAATGTTTTAATCTGGCAATGCTGCAATGGCGCCAAATAGATTTGTGCGTTAAAAGCCATAAAGATTACCATTAATTGCATATTTATACTAACGTTGGCAACCCTATTGTTTATGCTTATTTTCGACCTAAGTGTACCAAAGGTTAATCGTGTTTGTTTTGATTCTGCTTTATTAGTTACGTTTTAATACCTATTTCACATAAGATCGCAACCTCAAAGAACGCGGCAGATTTTATTGTAATCTGAAGACGTGTGTTTCGCCAAAGAGTTTTGTTTATCTTGGAAAACTTTCTTCCCGGGAGAAAATATGAGCGACAACGAAGAAAAGTCAACAAGGAAGCGTAATGCAGATCCCGATGAGAATGTCAATGAAGAAGACGAAGAAAACGGAGGATGGATTGGACCAATGCCAACAGAACAATCAGCTGCTTCAAAACCCAAAAAGAAGAAAGGTATGGTGTCCAGGTGGTGCAGTAGAATCAAAATTAATTTACATGAAAAAAATTAATTTCCCACTTCCTTTTAGTTTTGCCCTATGAAAAAGTTTATTTGGAAAATTTACCCGATGCCGATTGTTATGAGAAAAGTTATATGCATCGGGATGTCATTACACATTTGGTGGTGACCAAAACGGATTTCCTCATAACCGGTAGTATTGATGGCCATATCAAGTTTTGGAAGAAAATGGAAGAGGGCATCGAGTTTGTTAAACATTTTCGCAGTCATTTGAGTAAGTTACCCGAAGAGAAAAATTGGTGTATAAGTGTTTTAATTTTGTTCTGGTTTGATATTTCAGTGCCCTTACACTCGTTGACCACCAATGCTTCCGGCACATTGTTGTGCTCAGCCTCGGCTGATAAATGTGCCAAGATTTTCGATGTCATTAATTTCGATATGATAAATATTATTAAATTGGGTTTTACACCGGGTACCACCTGTTGGATCCATTCACCGGGTGATGCTGTTCAGAGTTTGGCAGTGTAAGTTGCTAGTAAATTGAATATCTTTATATATTTCTATAAGTATCTGTGTTTTTTAGATCCGATAAAGATTCCAATAAAATCCATGTTTACGATGGCCAAGGTAATGGTGACATTCTACACACCCTAGACACATTGCACTCTGCCCCAGTAATATCGATATGTTATAATGTACCAATGGACACTGCCATATCTGTGGACCGTAATGGCATATTGGAATATTGGCAAAATTTTAAATATGATTTCAAATTTCCCAAAAATGTTAGTTTTGATTCGAAATTGGATACTGGTAAGTTGAGAGTGGTATAATTTAATTTGTTGAGAATTGTAATATTTGTTTGATCGTTTCTTAGATCTTTTCGAATTTGTAAAATGCAAAACAATTGTCACTGGCCTGGCAGTTTCGAATGATGGCAAACGCTTTGCTACCATTTCTACGGATCGTAAAGTTCGAGTTTTTAAATTTCATACGGGTAAATTGGTACGAGTGTTTGATGAAGCCCTATCCACCTATACACAATTGCAGCAGACACCACTAGCATTGCCCAATATGGAATTTGGTAGAAGGTGAGACAGTGTGACTCTCATATTAGGTCATTGAAAAAAAAATCCACGCCTATTTTGGGTCATTAAAAAAATATTTTTAAAAAATCCACTCCTATTTTGGGTCATTGAAAAAAATATTCATTGAAAAAAATATTTAAAAAACACGCCTATTTTGGGTGACTGAAAAAAAAAATATTTTTAAAAAACCACGCCTATTATGAGTCATTAAATAATATTTTTAAAAATTCCACGCGTTGATTCAGAAAATTTTTATTTTGTATTCCAAATAATGTGTTTTATCTTTTTTTAGAATGGCAGCTGAACGTGATTTGGAAAAATCCGATTTTAATATGAGCAATAACATTATATTCGATGTAACGGGGCATTTCCTATTGTATCCCACCTTGATTGGCATTAAAGTTATTAACATCGAAACAAATCGCTGTGTTAATATATTGGGTAAAACCGATAATATTAGACCCCTGCATATAGCACTGTTTCAGGGTAAGGGCAAGAAAACGAAAGCGGCGATAACATTGGAACAAGAAGCAAGTGAAAATCCAGCCTTGCAATCGACCACAAATGATCCAACGCTATTTTGTACAGCATACAAGTAGGTGGTCATGACAGAATATTTTCAATATTTTTTTACTAATAACTCCATTTCATTTCAGAAAACAAAGATTTTATTTGTATAGCAGGCGTTTGCCTTCCGATCTGCAAGACGTGGATCGTGATGTTTTCAATGAGAAGCCAACAAAGGAAGATATTATTGCTGTACCCGAAGGACAAGGTGGGATAAATTCAAAACGATTATTAATTTACTGTAGACTAAAGCTAAAACTAATAATTATTTTTCTAACATGCCTAACATAACATAAGCAGAAGAAGGTTATTTTGCAAAAAAAGCAACTACGTAGCAGATTTTTTTTATAATTATAAATATAAAAATCAAAATCATAAGAAACTACGTGCTTGCTTTTTGTTTCTAATTGAGAAAATATTGGTTCTAATGATTTTTTTTACTTAGGTGTCCAACGAATGTATGAGAATGTCACTATTCACACAACCATGGGTGATATACACATGAAAATGTTCTACAAAGAATGCCCGAAAACTGTGGAGAATTTCTGTGTGCATGCCAAGAATGGGTAAATAGCAAATTTTAACTTTTAATCATTTTCTTTTTTTGATTACCTTTATATTTTCTTTAGCTATTATAATGGCCACATATTCCATCGTGTTATCAAGGGTTTCATGATACAAACGGGTGATCCCACTGGTACTGGTACAGGCGGTAAATCAATATGGGGTCATGATTTCAAAGATGAATTTGTACCGACATTAAAGCATGATCGTCCTTATACGGTTAGCATGGCCAATGCTGGGCCCAATACAAATGGTAGTCAATTCTTTATAACGGTGTTGCCAACGGTATGTTAATTATTTGGAAAATCTGTGGTTATATTTGTACTGTAAATAATTATTTGTTTACTTATTAATTTATAGCCCTGGCTGGATAATAAACACACGGTCTTTGGTCGCGTCTATAAAGGCATGGAGGTTGTACAAAATATTTGCAATGTCAAGACAAATCCCAAAACGGACAAACCCTATGATGATGTTAAAATTATTTCAATACATTTAAGCAATTAAGTTATGTATTGTAATTAGATAAATCGGAGAAAAAAGTAAAGAATGTTTATAAACACATAATAAAAAACTAATTATTTAAGTAAAATATTAAACACAAAATATTTAATTATCACAATTAGGTCATGCCTATGTTAGATTATTGAATTTACATTTAAAAAAAAATCCAGACTATTTTGGGGTCATTAAAAAAAAATATTTTTAAAAAATCCACGCGTATTTTGGGTCATTGAAAAGAAAAACACATGGTACGATCAGGAGTGTCGTAATGCTACTGATGTGAAAAACGCAGCATATAGGGAACCCTGCAGACAGTAGCAACACGTAACGTGATTGAGAATTATCGTGAGAAAAGGAGAGAGGAGAAACGTGTTTTCAGAAAAAAGAAGAAGGAAGAAGAGAAACGTGAGCATGAGCAAATCGAGGTGTACACGAGTCAGAATGAAGTCCGAAAATTTTACCAGCACCCTGTGTCCCGTGCACAAAAAGGAGACGATATGTGCCAGCTATATAAGAATTAGCATTCTTCCCATCGCATATAAAGTGATATCCAGTGTGCTGTCTGAACGATTGGAGCCAATGGTCAATGACATTATTGGACCATACCAATGCGGCTTCAGACCTGGCAAATCCGCCATTGACCAGATTTTCACTCTGGGCGAAATTCTGGAAAAGACCCACGAAAAACACATCGACATATTCCATCTATTCGTCGACTATAAAGACGCATCCGACAGAGGGGTTTAAAGCCATGTCTACGTTCGGCATTCCTGCAAAATTTATATGCCTATCCAGTATAACTTTAAGTGGCACAAGGTCGCAGTTAAAATCGGAAAGGACCTATCGGAGCCCTTCAATACCGAACGAGGATTCAGACAAGGTGAATGAATCACGAGCGTCGAATGAATCACGAGCTATACAATTTATACGCGGATATCGGCAGCGACTATGAATTCCCCAGCTCAAAAGGTTTAAAGCCATATCTACGTTCGGCATTCCTGCTAAATTAATATGGCTATGTTATCCTGTGGCACAAGGTCGCAGTTAAAGTTAGAAAGGACCTATCGGAGCCCTTCAATACCGAACGAGGATTCAGAAAAGGTGACAGTTTGTCATGTGATTTTTTTGACATCCTGCTAGAAAAGGTGAACAGAAATGTCACTCTGTACACCAAACAACACATGTTACTCGCCTACGCCGATGACATCGATATAATGGGTCGAACACTGCGAGCGGTAACAGCCACCTTTGGAGTTTGCCAAATTGGGTCTACCAGTAAACGGCGAGAAGACCAAGCTGATGGTATCAACGCACAAGACGTCCAGTAGACTCGGACCAACTGTGAAATTTGAGAACTACTGCTTCGAGGTAGTTAAAGATTTTATATACCTTGGTACCGCCATAAATAAAACGAATGACATCAGTTTTGAAATTCGGAGAAGGATTGTGATGGCTAACAGATGCTACTATGGTCTAAGTAAGCAGTTTAGAAACAAGGCCACCTCCCGCCAGACCAAACTCATACTTTACAAGACGCTGATACTACCCGTGCTGTTATATGGATCTAAAGCATGGATACTTGCGCAAGCAGATGAGGCAGCTCTTGGGGTGTTTGAAAGAAAAATCCTCCGAAAGATCTACGGCCCGATCTTCGTCGACGATGAATATCGGCGTCGAATGAACCACGAGCTATACAATTTATACGCGAACATCGGCAGCGACTACGAATGCCCCAGCTCAAAAGGCATATAAAAGCGAGCCTAATGATGGTTCCCTTATAAGGGGAAGGCCACGAATTAGATGTAAAGACCAATTAGAAAACAACATGTTGGAACGTGGTCTTTCAAATTGGAGGAGATGCGCACAAGACGGACGGAAATCTTTTTAAGCTCGGCTTATGGAACAACCGTTCTGTAACAAGCCAGCTAAGTAGGTAAGTAATTAAAAAATATTTTTAATAAATCCACGCCTATTTGAGGTAATAAAAATATTTTGTTTTTGCAAAATAGTCAGGCTGAAGACTAGTTTGTTGTTTTTATAAAAAAATATTTATTAGTGAGGAATGTATGACATTGTTCGCCGAGGGTAAGGCGGGGAAGACTATAGTTTCTGATCACGTCACTGATCCTTATCAGTTCCCTTAGTTTTTCGCCTATTTTGCAAAAACAAAACACAAATGGTATGACAATTAAGCCGCCAACATTTCTGTAATAAAAAATGTTTTTAATAAATCCGCGCAAATTATTGACAATTGAAAAACTATTTAAAAAAAAACATCTATTTTGGGTAGGTCATTGACAACGTTTATATAAGACAATCAGGAAAATTTCGCTATAATTAAGGGAATCTTGAATAGATTGGGTGTTATAGAGTGTGTACTTTTTAATTGACCTCCACATTACTTTCTTCCCAGCCATCCTTCTCCTCGCCACATTTGGTTAGAATTTCACAAAAATAAGGTAATTTTCGTTTGCAGTCCACAGTTAGCCATGTGCTATGCGAAGACAATGCCACACAACTTGTGTTTCGTAAATTTGAACTTAAATTTAAGAATTACAAAAAAGCTCTTTATTTTTTCTAGACAATATTAAAAATTAAACAACCTACCTCATTTTCGGATTGCCAGGTTCCCATGCTCTATACGCAAAACATTTTAAACTGTCATCATCCATGTTGAACATTTCAAATCGTTGACCTCGAGTTCGATTAAAACTGAGACCAACATATGCTAAATTTATTTTCGATTTTAGATTTATTTCCTCCTGCTTTTGATTATGTTCCAATAGGATTTGTGTTAGAGCTGTTGTACGTGTTTCCGAAGCAATGTGGGCTAATGAACCGCATCCGGTTGTAAATTCATCTGCGTTTTGTTTGCGGCATTTTAAGGTGGCATTTTCAAAGGTTTCAGGTTCTGTGTTTAGGGTAAATAGACCAACTTCGGGTATACAAATGTAATTTTTAGCGACTAGAGAGAAAAAAATGTTTAGAAGGTGTAAGCAATTTAGCGCAAGTACTTACCAATTAACTTTTCATACAAAGAATAATAATCAAATGATCTATCGCTTATTAAGGTTTTGGATGATACACCTTCGGGACATTTTAAAATGTGACAATTAAAATATAACTGCGGTTGTTCCCAATAATGATCTCGACTTATATTACCTGTTATTGTACCTTGGGCAATATAAAGTAAGAAAAAATATATAAATTTAATTTCGAACTATTAAAAAAATTATTCAGAAATATAGTCAAATTTATCAAAAATATCATTTAAAAAATTTAATTCCTCTAATTAATTAAGTGAATATCCTTACCTTTATTCGAGTAATTCTCCTTTGTATTATAGTTGAATGCCAATCCTTTATATTGCCGTGTTATTTGTTTACATAATTCCACCGATTCGACATTCTCAACATGTAACTTATCGGCTAAAGATCGATGTGATGACTTTAGCAAATAGAAATTGTATCGTAAATCGATATGATTTTCCTTACAAGTGAGAGTTGTTACCAACTTTAATGATATAAAGGCTGTAATGAAAACAATTACCATCACTTGTAACAACATTTTATTAGATCAACGAATTGGATTTCATTCTAATACAGTACTGAATAAATTTATTTCAATGTGAACAATAAATACTATTTTAATGACGTCATCAGTTCATGTAGTTTTCAATTTAATTCATTGTGACATGTAACTGACATTTAAATTGTTATGGTATATTACATTTATGACTTTTTATATAATTTTTTTTTTAACACTGTCACATCAGAAAAATTGGAGTATTTGGGACAACTCGAGAACGATTTTTTAAATAATTTGAAAAATTACTTTCTTCAAATGAATATTTGTAGGTGTAGATGGGAGTAGGGTTTTAATAAATATTTTTAGGCATCAATTTTTATAGATATTTTTTAAGCGTTACTGCCATAGACTGCTAAGGAATATTTTCAAACGTTGATTAAAACAAATATTTTTAAGAATTGATTTTTATTAAAAAATATTTTCATTTTTTAAGAATGTTTTTCAACCTAGATATGCTTAGATTTTTAATGAATACTTACAGGCGTAAGGGTTTAAATAATAGTTTCAAGCGTATAACTTAATAGAATATTTTCAGACATGGATTCAGATATGGATATGGATAGAATATTTTAAATACTATTTTCAGTTGTATATTTTTAAACAATTTTTTTAAGTTTAGATTTTTTAAGTGTATATTTTTAAAGAATGCTTTTAGCCGTAGATTTTTAAAGACTATTTTTCAGGCGTAGATTTTTATATTCTTTCTGATAATTTAAGACGTTAATATTTAAAGCAAATTTTGCGGTGTGGATTTTAAAAAAAAATATTTTTAAGTGTAGTTTTTTAATAATATTTTTAGGTATAGATTATTAGAGACTATTTTTTAATTGTAGTTTTTAAAGAATATTTTTAGGGGTGGATTTTTAAAGAATATTTTCAGGCGTACATTTTTAAGAATATTTTCAGGCGTACAATTTTAGGAATATTTTAAGGAAAATAATTTTTAAACACTACATTCAGACACGTTTTTTTATAGATTAAGTTTAGACGTGTTTTTTACAAAATATTTTCAGGCGTAGATTTTTAACTGAATATTTTTTCAAGCTTTAAAGAACATTTTGAGTTGTGTATTTTTATAGAATTTTTTTTTCCAGGAATTGATTCTTAAAGCATAGTTCCAGGCATAGAATTTTAAATAATATTCTCTGATATTGTTTTTAAAGAAAAGTTGTCCAGTCATAGATTTTTTACCCTACACAACTATGTTGTCAGGCAGGGTATTATAGCTTTGTGCAGCCCCAAGTATTGTGCAGTTAAGTATACCGATCGTCATATCTCGACCAGCTGAGTCGATCTAGACATGTGTGTCCGTCCGTCTGTCCATTATAATTTGTAAACACGATTCAGGCCATAGTTATGCACCAATGTTCACGAAATTTTGCAAGATGGGTTCTGGCCAATGAAGACCCCTATTTTTAGTAAAGATCGGTTAATATTTAGGGGATGAAATGGACCAAATACTTAATTTTTGTCAGTTTTTCTGGTCGCTCCAGAGGCTGAAATTATAGCCCAAACATTGCGAATTTTTACATGGAGAAGGGCATCGGGCGAAAGTATAAGCATGCCTTTTTTGATAAAGATTGGTCAATATTTAGCGGGTCAAATGGACCCTGACTTGAAATTTGAAAAATTACAAAATTTGTATTCTATGGCGTATATATTTGCCCCTGAAGGACATAGACCCGAGAAGTTGATAGTATATCCAAGAGCAGTGGTTGGCCTTTAAATTGATACCAATTGTATGGTCGTATACTCAGATGTGGGAGTTACACTTAAATATTTACATGTTCTTACGTACTGAGATATTATATAGTAATCCAGTACCATACTAGAGGTCGGAAATATAGCGCTAATCGCTTTGAATTTTTTCATGAGATTCCAGGTGTGGTCGTGCACAACGACTATAATTTTCAGTGATGATCAGATAATAATTTTGAGATAAAGTGTACCAAAAACTTAATTTTTGTGCTTTTTTGTGTCGATCTATAGTCTAACATCACAACAAAACTCACGGTGAAGGGAATCTGGACAAGTAATTAGAAGGACTTTACTGAATATTAGTAATATTCGGAATATATGTAAGTGTAAGGAAGAGGTGCTGTTGACCTCCAATCGGGAAAGATATCAAGAATAAATATCCGCAGGAAATTAGAGTTCCGTGGTAGTTGTGTAGGGATGAGCTTGTCTCTTTTCTTATCTCATGATTGATTTTGCTTTGTTTCTTGCCTTCCAAAAACTTTTCCATTTGCTATCACACTTATTTGCCAGATAATCTCTGTAAGTTAAAAGAATATTTCTTTCAGTCATAAATTTGTAAGGCATATTTTTTGAGGGGAACATTTTTAAAGCTTTCGATTTGCACGAAATTTGGCATAGCGTAATGAATTAGGTATAAAATGACGAGTTTTAAGTTTCCTGAAAATCGGTCGAAATTTAGATATAGCTCCCATACATATTTTCGTCCTAGTAAATGTAAATGGTAAACCAATGTCCCTATATATTGTTCGATTTGCACGAAATTTGGCACAACGTAATGAATTAGGTCTAGAATGATGTGTGTTAAGTTTCGTGAAAATCTGTTCAGAATTAGATATAGATTCTATATCTGATCAAATGAAAAATTTGTTATCGGTTGCAGAACAACATGTTTATGGATCCAATTTCATTTTACTGGTCCTTTAAAAAGGCGACGTCTGTTAGGGTTCATCTGTCGGCCCCGTCCGACTTTACTATTTTCCTTACTGGTTTATTATTTATCTAATTTTTTTCCTCAAATAATTTTATTATTTACACAAGAACGAATGAAGGATATGGGAATAAAGAAGCGGTAAAGGAACGATATCAGAAAAATGAACTATGAGAACTAAAGAAGTGTACCTTGTTCCTATCGTTGCTTTATCGAAATAATTTCAATGAACTAGTTTGTTCCGGAACGACCCAACCATATCCTAATTTAAGTATTTTTATTGACCTACGCACTTTTTTTAACTAATTTGGCATTTCAGATTCTTAGTGATGTTTAGTATAAATATATTCGTCCAGTTTTTAGGATAGCCTCCATATAACCGTACCTACGAAATTTAGGTATTTTTGGGATTTACACAAGAAGGAATGAAGAATATGAAGAAGAAGCAAAGGAACAAGATCAGAAAACGGAACTATAGGAACTACAGAAGTGGACCTTGCTTTTTTTACGAAATAATTCCAATGAAATTGGCTTTAATTGGGTATTTTGAATTAACTAATTTGGCATTTCAGGACATCTTCATGCCAAAAAGTATCAATATTGCTCGAGTTTTTAGGATGGCTCCCATATAACCGTGTTCCCAAATGTGGGTATTTGGCCATCATATAACTGATGGCCCCTTTTTGGGGATTATGGGCGCGGTTTTTAACTGAATATGCTGCAATATTTAAAGGTCCGGAACGATATAAAATATTCCCCGAATGTTATTGACCCGTGACCCATCGTAAATCCAACTAGGATAATCTAAAATTCGTTTTTTCACTCTTTTGAGATGTCTTTAATAAAACAACAAAATATTTATTATTTAGAAGAAATAAATTAGTTAAGAGTTTTTTTATTTCAAAAAAATCAAATACATACATACATAAAAGTTTTTTTAAATACGTACATATATATTTTTGTTCTATATAAATCGATAGTTATAGATTAAAAATTATGACAAGTTCTGTTTGTTGTTTTTGTTTCTTCTTCTTTTTAACTACACTCACATTGGCAAAAGTTTAACAGCCAAGGCGCACTGCCTAAAATCCCTCCAAGAAGATGATGGATGGCTATTTTTGCAAACTTTTGCCAAAGGATTGTAGAGAAAATAAAAATTAAAATTAATAAAAAAAAATACATTTATAAGAGTGTTTTTTAAGTGTGTGTGAGTGTAAGTGTGTATTTATTTACGTTAGGATTGTTGTTTTTTCTTTTTCTTCTTCTTTGATTATACAATTAAAATACACAGTTTACAAATTATAGTTTTTAAAAAAAAAAGTTTATCACCTGAGGGCGTTAGCTAAGTATAAAATTAAATACATACATAGGGCTACAAAGCTAACCTAAAAAAACAGTTAATAGGTTTCATTTTTTTGCAGTTTTAAATTAGCAAATTGAAAGGAGACTTAGTTAAGACCCACATACCATAGCTAGTTGTTAGTTAGAATTTTTTTTTTAGTTGTCATATTTTTTTCTTTAAATTAAGTGTTAAAATTGAACAGAGATTTTGTGTGGTGTGCATATCACACCGCCAAGGCATCTCTGCGATATTAGAGGGTTTTTTATTATTATTAATTAAATTAGTTTTTTTGTTTTAATTCTTATAGAGAGTTACTAGTGTAAAAAACCCTGTAATATCTTTTAGTTAAGTGCTGAGTTTGTGTTTTTTTCTAAACAAAAAATATCAAGGACTTGTTTTTTTAAATAATTATTTTTTTATAGACTTGTTTTTAAATTATATATAAGTATATCGTCTATAGTAGTCTAAACTTAAAAATTATTTTAATTAATTTGTTTTTTGTTTAAATCAAAATTATTTTTCTTTTTTTTATGGAAGGCAGCTAAAATTGTCTTTGTGACTTATCAACTAACGTACTAAGCGAACAAAAAATATATATTGACTTTCTTTTGAGGAAATAAAATATTTCGATTTTTGTTTTTTAATTTTAGCATTACTTAAGAAATTGTTTTTTTTAAACACTTTTAGTGTTCCTTTAAGGGAGAAAATTTGGAATCTTTAGATTTTGTTTTGTGGTTATGTTTTGTTTTGGAGCCTAAAATACAATAAAACATATATCCTTATTTGTAGTGTTGTTGTTGTGGTTTTTTTTTTGTTTTCTTGTTCTATTACTAAATTTGGAAGGAGACGAAATGTGGCTGCTTAACTGCTATGCGAGAAGGCTGTGTTTGTATAGGGACCACTGTAAATGCTACTGCCCGAATTCGATACAGTCTTGGTGCTGCGTCGGGCCATTATACACAGAACGGCGGCTACAACGGCCAACATCAGAATTAGGCCAGCTATAGCTATGGCAATGGCAAAGGTACGTTGGGAGACACACAAAGCATCTTCCAGTGTCTGAAAATTAAAAGTAAAAACATATATATTAATAAAAATGTTTTTATAAAATATAATATTTATAAGAAAAGTGGAAAAAGCCTATAGAGTACGAAGACTTATTAAAAATACTTCATGAAGTCTCTCTGAGATCGTAGACTTTTTAAAAAATTTTTTTTTTAATCTCACAGAGAGTGCAGAATTATTTGAGGATAAAAGATACCAAGCAATGTCTTTGATTGGCTTTAACATGGCGAAGTGCAGGCTTATCTTGGTCCCTCTTTCATCTCAATTGTGGACACTGACCTACCCGCGGTGTCACCTGGGATAGCTATTTTCATCACCTGTTGAATAGTAAAATGTGCCACGAGATCACCCATAAAAAAGGGTTGAGGCGTCGGGTTAGTTGACCACACTCAGAAAACCCCTCCTACGATGAAAAAGCAAAGAAAAAGAAAACCAACATCCCCTAAAGTTGACGATCTGCAAACGATCTGCGAATCTGCACTTGGAATGTGCGCAGTTTTCACTTTGGCGGATGTACTCAAGAAGTACAAAGCTGATATTATTGCCTTACTGGAAATGCTATGGAAAGGGTCTGGCGTGAGTAAATCAGACGATTGCTCACTGTATTATAGCTGCCATGAAACGAGACATGAATTTGGCTGCGGATTTATGGATAACAGGAGAATAAAAAACCTTAACAGGAGAATAAAAGATTCACTCCAGTAGATGAGCGAATTGCTATAATGCGTAAAAAAGCGACGTTCTTCTACATAAGTCTTATTTGTGCCCATATTCTGACCGAAGACAAAGATGAGCAGACCAAAGACATATTTTATGAGCGCCTAGAAACAGGATATGATCGCTGCCCTGGCCATGACATTAAAATTCTGTTAGGAAATTTTAATGCAAAAATCGGAAGGGAAAATATCTTTGGCCCCACCGTCGGAAAATGCTGCCTTCATGAAGAAACACCCAACAACGGTATGAGGTTGATTGACTTTCCGGCAGCAAAAAACATGGTAGTTAGCAGCAACAGATTCAAGCATCTCGATATACACAAGGCCACTTGGTTCCCGTAGACGGATCGGTAACCTGATCAAGCAACGAGAAATCAAATTGATCATGTTGTGATGGACGGAAGGCATTCATCCAGTGTATTAGACGTCCGATCGATCCGAGGAGCGAATATCGATTCGGACCACTACCCTGTAGCAGTCAAGGTTCGCACTCGTCTTAATGTTGCAGCAAAGGTGCGATCTAACACAACACGGAAACTCGATATCGAAAAGCCCTACTGCGCTCAACTTATCCCATCCGTTCAGAGGTGTTTAAAGCCATGTCTACGTTCGGCATTCCTGCAAAATTAATACGGCTATACAGGATAACTATAAGTGGCACAAGGTCAGCAGTTAAAGTCAGAAATGACATATCGGAGCCCTTCAATACCGAACGAGTATTCAGACAAGTCGCGTGATCTTTTTAACATCCTGCTAGAAAAGGTCATACGAGACGCAAAGATGAACAGAAATGGCTCTCTGTACACTAAACAACACATGTTACTCGCCTACGCCGATGACACTGATATAATGGGTCGAACATTGCGAGCGGTAACAGCCACCTTTGAACAAATTGAGAAGGAGTCCGCCAAAGTGGGTCTGGCAGTAAACGGCGAGAAGACTAAGCTGATGGTGTCAACGCGCAAGACTTCCAGTAGACTGGGGCCAACTGTGGAACTTGAGAACTACAGCTTCGAGGTACTTAACGATTTCATATACCTTGGTACCGCCATAAATGAAACGAATGACATCAGTTTTGAAATTCGCAGAAGGATTGTGATGGCCAACAGATGCTACTATGATCTAAGTAAGCAGTTTAGAAAGAAGGCCACCTCCCTCCAGACCAAACTCACACTTTACATGACGCTGATACTACCCGTGCTGTTATATGGATCTGAAGCATGAGTACTTGCGCATGCAGATGAGGCAGCTGTTGGGGTGTTTGCAAGAAAAATTCTCCGAAAGATCTACGGGCCGATCTGCGTCGACGATGAATGAACCACGAGCTTTACAATTTATACGCGGACATCGACATAGTCAGTCGTGTTGAGCTGCTGCGACTACGATGGCTAGGCCATGTTGGGCGAATGAATGAGAATGCCCCAGCATATAAAAGCGAGCCTCTACGTCTACGGGAACCATCAGCACGTAGAAGGCCACGAATCACATGGAAAGACCAAGTAGAAAGACCAACATCTTGGAACGTGGTGGAGATGCGCACGCTTGAAAATGTTGTTTAAGCTCGGCTTATGGAACAACCGTTCTGTAACAAGCCAGCTAAAGAGCATAGAATTCTCAAAACAATTTTTTTTGAAGTCTCTTAGAGAGCGGAACATTTTTTGAACTATTTTTAAAAGTCTTCGATTTTTAAGTCTTCCTGATAGTATAGATTTCAAAAAATAGTTTTTCTAAGTATTTCGGATAGCGCAGGTTAAAAAAATTGTTAAAGCCTCTCAGAGAGCGCAGAGAGATCGAAGATTTTTTTAAAAAAATATTTTTTGGTGTCTCTCAGAGAGCGTAGATTTTTTAAAAACCTTTTTTTGAAGTCTCTCAGAGATCGTCGATTATTAAAAAATATTATTTGAAGTCTCGCAGAGAGCGTAGATTTTTTTTTAAATACAAATTGTAGTTTGGATTTTTTAAAAATACAGTTACATAGAGTTCGTATATTTTTTATTGTTTCACTCCCTCTCTCTCTCTCTCTCTGTATTTCTTATTTTTTTGTATACTTACTCTTTCTTTTGATACAGAATCATCATCACCCTCTGTTATATCCACATTTTCATTAACATAGAGGCCAGAAAAGACTTCAATGGTAGCTGGGGAACCTTCTTCGTCTTTGTTATCGTTAGTGGCTTGTCGTTTGGGTCGTTTGCCTCCACAAAGAGGAGCCTAAACAAAAAACAAAATTAAGCAATTTAGGAATCTCTCCTATAATACAAATCAATTCCTGCTTACCATTTGACATTCGGGATCAACCAAGGGACACAATTTAACATTACATTGATAGTACACGGAGGTGGTGTATGGGAATTTATGAGCCGGGAAGGTGACATTGGCTGCCAAACGATCCGAGGTATAATTAAACTGGCCCATAATTTCATTGTCCATGGGGCAACTAAAAAAGGAAAATTATACATTTTTTTTATATTTTCATAAAAGGAAAACGCATTACTTACCCATCCTCTCCCACCAAACGTTGCTCACCCCAACCCAAACCATCGCGTACAATACAATCGGTCACATGCAATCCGTATGTATCCTGTTTATCAATGTTGACGACCAATGTCAGGGGATCTCCAATTTTCACATCATTAGCGATATGATGTTCGGCATTATAGATTTTCATATGACAACCAGGCATGGGTATTTCATTTTCCATGTCGTTATCATCGCCGGCGGCAGCATCATCTTGCATGTATACATCATCTTCATCGAAATTATCACCATTTGCCCGATATTTATCCAAAGATCTACCATAACCACGACGATCACTATTGCCATCGGCTTCGGCACTTTTCAACGCCTGGGGCTTTTGGGCATATTTACTACCGACCACCTTGTGATGATGGGGTTTTTTACTGCTCATTGCGGCATCGCGTGATTTATATGAACAGCGTACATGATAACCACGACCAGCATCGGTTATCAATTTCAAATGCGGTTGCAAAACAATTGTATTGAAAAATTCAATACCGCCATCGTCCTGAAATTATACGAAAGAGATTATTGAGAATTATGTTTAATTTTTTTTTGAAATTTCGTAATTTTTTTTTTAAATTTCAATTCCCAACTTATTGTACAGCCCCTCTAGAGAATTCTCCCGTATCTTTAAATTCTAATAAGAATCTTTTGTTGTATTTTTTTTTAATTTCAAACTAAAAGCGAAAGATGTCTAAAAGATAAATGCCAAAGATCATTAGCACAACTTTAAAGCAAATCACTTTATGTCCATAACCCCCAACCACTGAACTGCTCCAACCTATTCCAATAAGAATACATCAAACCCCAGCCTTTGGGCTATAATTTTCTTCTAAATTTACAAAACTTCCTGGAAGAAGAAGAACTACAACATTACATAAAAGAATACTGCTTGCTGCCTAAGGGCTTAGGAAGTAACTTGACTTCAAAGAAAGAACAGCACATCAAATCTTTATACGCCCAAAATAAACGGGGAGTTGGTCATCAGCATCTAGCCAAAACACGCTAGATGAATAGCTAGTTTGGCTGCTTGCTTGCTTTGCGTTTTTTTCATTTTGTTGTTCTTGTTATTATATTCTTTAGCCATCATTATAATTTTATGGTTAACTAAGTGTGACGAGAAGATGATGAATATGTTGATTAACACTAATTCATCAAAAAAAAAAAAAAAAAAAATCATGCTTTGTTTGGTTCTTAGAAGTTTTTGAACTTTTTGTTTTGTTGTATCTGAGTTTTAGAACATTTCCTGTTGATATTTTTGCCCAAAATTTTCATATCTCGTCGTCGCCTTTGTCATTAAGATTTCCGGGGAATATAACGAATTGGGGTTTGGTATTTTTGGAAAGAAATGGCAAATGAGATAATTTTAATGAATAAAAATAGAACAAAAGATTTAAGCAACAAACTTTAATGATGGGACCCAACAGAAAATATATAGAACTAATTAATGCGACTTATAAAAAGAAAGGCTAATAAAGTGAAGAAAATTTGAAATTAGTAATACTCGAAAATTACTGAAATCTGTGGGATTTTAAAAGAACTTCACAAAGAACGTTTTTGTGGGTCTTGTATTCTGGCATAAGTTTTCAAAAAAAAAAAAAAATTGAAATTAAATTATAGATAGAAGTTAGCATTTTCAAAAGGCACCCAGAGGAATGCCAATAGACTTCGCAACATTATCTGTAAATAGTGTGGATGTTCTATTCATATTTGCTTAAGTTTCTAGAGATTGTGGATTTTTTTATTCATATTTCTTTAAGTGGATTGGATTAAATGAATTGAATAAAAAAAAAAAAAAAAACATCATGTGTGTGTCCGTCCATCCATTATCCATATTTTGTAAACACAATACAGGCCACATTTATGGACCAATCTTCTCGAAATTTTGCATATAGGATGGGTTCTGGCCAATGAAGACCCTTATTGTTTTTGGTAAAGATCGGTTAATATTTAGAGGGTGAAATGGATCAAATACATAATTTTTGTCGGTTTTCTGGTCGCTCAAGATGCCGCAATTATGGCCCAAAACAACGAATTTTTACATGAAGAAGGGGATCGGGCCAAAGAATAAGCATGCCTGTTTTGATAAAGATCTGTCAATATTTATGGCGTATATATTTATTCTATGGCGTATATATTTACTCCTCAATGAGATAGACCAGAGAATTTGACATAATATCCAAGAGGAGTGGTTGACCTTTAAATTGATACTAATTATATTGTCGTATGTACTCGGATGTGGGAGTTACACATAAATATTTACAGGTGCTTACGTACTCAGATATTAGTTAGCAACCCATTACCACACTAGAGGGTCACAATTATAAGCCGAATGTAACAACACAATTATAAGCCGAACGTTACAACACAACACACCGTGAAGAGAATCTGGACAAGTAATTGGAAGGGCTGTACTGAATATTAATAATATCCGGAAAATATGTCAGTGTAAAGAAGAGGTGCTATTGATTGATTGCCCAGGCTCGGAATAAAAATTCGCAGAATGTTTGAGTTCCGTGGTAGTTGTGTAGGGTATCGTATGGTCGGCCCCGTCCGACTATACTGCTCCGCTCACTGGTTTTATATTTTTGATTCAATTTATATAGAGTTTTTTTATACACTTCACCACACTGTGGTACAGGGTATTATGTTTTTGTGCATATGTTTGTAGCAGGCAAAAGGAAACGAGATGGACCCATAGTTCCTTTTGAGAATATGCATAGAATCACTATCTGAGTCGATTTATGCATCTTCGTCCATCCGTCTGTTGGTGTTAAATTGTAAACAAAGTACAGGTCGCATTTATAATCCGAATTGAATGAAATTTGGCACAAGTCACTTATTTGGCCTAATAACGAACCCTATTGAAATTGGAAAAAATCGGTTCAGATTTAGATATAGCTCCGATATATATTTTCGTCCGAATGGTGTACCAAAGCCCCTATATATCTATCGATTTGCACGAAATTTGGCATAAAGTACTGAATTGAACCTAGAATGATGTTCGCCCTAGTTTTGTGAAAATGGGTTCAGATTTAGATATAGCTCCCATATATATTTTCGTCCGATTTAAGGTAAATGGTGCACAAAAGTCCCTATATATCTTGCGATTTGCACGAAATTTGGCATAACGTGCTGAATTGAGCCTAGAATGATGTTTGCCAAGTTTCGTGAAAATTGGTTCAGATTTAAATATGGCTCCCATATATATTTACGTCCGATTTAAGGTAAAGGGTGCACCAAAGTATTTATATATTTTTAGATTTGCACGAAATTTGGCATAGCGTACTGAATTGAGCGTGGAATGATTTGTGCCAAGTTTCAGGAAAATCGGTCCAGATTTAGATCTATCTCCCATATATAGTTTCGTTCAAATTTTTGTAAATGATGCACCAAAGTCCCTATATATCTTTCGATTTGCACGAAATTTGGCATAACGTATTGAATTGAGCCTGGAGTGATGTGTGCCAAATTTCGTGAAACTGGGTTCAGACTTAGATACAGCTCCCATATATATTTTCGTCCGATATAAGGTAAATGGTACACCAAAGTCCCTATATATCTTGCGATTTGCTCGAAATTTGGCATAGCGTAATAAATTGAGCCTGGAGTGATGTATGCCAAGTTTCGCGAAAATCTGTTCAGAATTTCGATTTGCACGAAAATTTGGCACATCGTACTGAATTGAGCCTGGAGTGATGAGTGCCAAGTTTCGTGAAAATCGGTTCAGATTTAGATATAGCTCCCATATATATTTTCGTCCGATTTTATGTAAATAGTACACCAAAGTCCCTATATATCTTTCGATTTACCGAAATTTGGCATAGCGTACTGAATCAAGTCTGGAATGATGTGTGCATAGTTTCGTGGAAATCGTTTCAGAACTATGTATTTATATGTTCGTCCGATTTAATGTTAATAGTCCACCAAAGTTCTTATATTGCATAGCGTACTGAATTTAGTCTAGAATGATGTGTGAAAATCGGTTGAGATTTAGATATAGATTATATATATCAATTGATTTTAAGTAACTGACGCACCAAAGACCCAATAGTTGGCTGATAGGAACAAAACGTACTGAAATTAATACAATCTAACTTGTGACAAGTTTCGTTGAAATTGGTTCATATTTGGATATAGCATTCATATATATTTTCGTCCGATTTTAAGTAAATGGTGCCTTAAACTCCTCATGTTTGTCAAACTGACTTAAAATTTTGCACAATTTGAGCATAGAATAACGTAGATGTGTTTTGTGGAGTTACAGACACAGCCCAACGGATGTCCGATTGATATTTGTTTGAAATCGATTTACATACTTTTGTCACATTGCAACAAACGAATGACATGTATATGTATTGATCTAAGTCGGTTCACATTTAGATAAGGATCACATGTTTTAGTTCATCCAATTTCATGATAATGGTCCAGCGTCTGTTTCTTTCGTCATTTGAATTTTGCCTTGTAAGGGCAGTGATCATTTGAAAGTAATTTTTTAAGTGTGTTATTTATACTCTTTCGAGTCGTGCTTAATGATCTAAGTTTTGCAATATGGATGTATATATATATATATATATATATATATTTTTTTTTTTAATTATTGTAAATAAAATTTTTAAATTCCGTGAAAGCGTAGATTTTTAAAAATATTTTATTTACAGAATATTTTACAGTTTTTGGATTGTATTAAAAGTATTTTTATTTTTTATTTCTTTGTCTCAAAATTTCCAGATAACGTAAATTGTTTCGCCATCAAAAAGCATTTTGCTTTTCAATGAAAAGACAATATATTCTTCGTGATTGGTATAATATTAAAGTGCAAATAAACTACTTTAACGTTAAACACGACCCTTGTAGTTATTGTTCCTGAATCAGATTTATGCCACAAGGTACCGCAACCTTCCGTTTGGCGATGGCGCTATTGTTCTTTAACTAGAACAAAATAATATACGGAACTATACATATGTTGTCAACTCCCACGTAATATATGTATGTGAAAAATATTAATATAAACTTTAAATTAACTTCCATTCCTTAATTCATTTGTTCTTTATTACATTGTGTATGTGTCTTAAGTCTTTTGTATTACCTACGACCACTTTTGACTACTCACAACACAATAACTGTAGCTTGAGGGCTTTTAATATGACTTTGGCGCTTTCATTACAAAATGGAACTGCATCACATATGTTCACTTGATTTGTGTGTATATGTATGAATGTATATATGCATGTATAAGTTCGTGTGCAAGTACAACCCATTGCCATTTATGGAAAATTGAAAAGAAAAAAGAAAAAAAAAACTATTGTTTATCTTGGGGCGAAAAGAATAAACTTTATTTTAGAACAATAACACCACAAAAGTGCATGCATGCATACACATATACATACAAAAGTATATGGGCAAACTAACGGTATATGTAGGAAGTTAAAGTCATATTGTAGCGTCGTTTATTCTTATTTTCTTCATTTATTTTTCCATCTTTCGCCCATTTGCATATTATAC